GTGTGGAGGCCTGCAGCCCGCCTGCAGCCCGCCCGCAGGCCCACAGAGCGGTGCCGCCCCCTCGTGGATACGCTATCAGACTGCAGACATGCTGCAGACCCGGCCGACTTACGGTGCACCAGCGCTCGTTTAGGCGAAATTGGACAAATTTGTACAATTGCATTCAGCGTGCTCGCAGTCTTTCCTCAACAAAAGTCTCATGTACGCATGTGACTTTCATTTTTAACATGCACGGGCGTCGCACAGTGGGCCAGAAGACGGCTGGAGCTGGCCAAAATTCTCGACACTTTTGGAGCTCCAAAGTCCGTTGTCCAGGGGCATCCTACGCCCAATTACCTCACCAAGCCCTGGTTTAAGGGCGTCCCCCTTATCTGGGCAACGTGATACAACGTGTGCCCTATTCCGGAGGGAGGGAGGGAGGGAGGGAGGGGGAGGGAGGGAGGGAGGGAGGGAGGGAGGGAGGGAGAGAGAGAGAGAGAGCAGCAAGGCGATGCCGCCGCGATAGCAGGGACATACCCTATCTGCCCCCATCGCGACCAGCAGTCCCCACGACAAACCCGAAAATCAACAAAAACAACAACAGGTGCAGCAATTTCTTGGCGGACGCGTGCATTTTCTCGCAGGCAGGGCGCGGCATCCTCCTTATACATAATACATAAATTTAACGGCGCCCCGCCCCGCTTCGCCCCGCCATGCATGGCCATGGCCGGCGGCAGTCCCGGTCTGCGCGCTGCGCGGCGCTGCGCTCCAACAAGCCGACCGGCCGACCGCACGCAATAAACCATTCCTCGCCATTCAAATTAGAAAATTACCCGCACGGAGGGGATTCGAACCCACGACCACGCATCACGTGCAGGTGTCGCTGCCGCCACGCCACTATGCGAGTGCTCTCGAGTGTAAAATGTAAAATCTCCGCCCCGCACGACAGATCGACGACAGATCCTCCCGCCGCACAGTGGGCCAGAAGACCGGCAGCGGCGGCCAAAACTCTAAACGCGTTTCGAGCTCCAAAATCGCTAAATGGGGCTCGAACCGAATGTGTGACCCCACCAGAGGATTGCTCTCCGGACGGGGAATCGGGGTCACACGTTCGGGTCGAGTCACATCTAACGATTTAGGAGCTCAAAACGCGGCCGGGATTTTGGCCGCCTCCACCGGTCTTCTGGCCCACTGCGCGCCGCCTTCCCTTTCCCAGGCACACTGGACGCACTCGGATGCGAGGGGTGAATCACTCAGCGTTCTAGTGTACACATGAGTACATGAGTACGTGTGAGTACACCTTGCTTTACTCATAAATTTCACATTTGTAAACGTTTTAAGGCTTTATTTAGCGTTTTAAACGGCACTCAACGCCAAATCGGTAGAAAAACTTGTGAATTTTGCCCTTTTTAAACTTGTGAGTACACTGAGTACGGGCCAATTTGTACACATGAGTACACTAGTGATCCACCCCTCGCTCGGATGCGCCTTCCGGCTCCAGGGCGACGGCCGATCTCAATCGGCAGGACGGCGACAACATCCGGTTGCACCTGCCCGCCGCCACGGCCGCCTCGCACTTCCCCACGTCGGGGCGGGGTGGGGAGCGGTGGAGTGGGGTGGGGCGGGGCCCTGGCCTGCCCCAAGGGCGGACGAGTCACGCCGTCGCGGGGCGTGGGTGGGGTTGCTGGTGGAGCCATTGGGGTGGTGGATGACGGCGTTGGCGAGCGCCACCCACACCCCTTTAGACAAACCTGCAGACTGATTACGAGAGTCGCTCCCGTCACTATGTCTCTCTCGCACCTACACGGGACCCCCCGCGAGTGCGACAGAGACGCAGAGCGGCGAAAACGACTCTCGGAAAAACAAACGCGAAACAGGAATAGAAGTGAGGCAGACACGATAATCTTTCTGTTCCTCCCTCGCACCTTGCAGCGCCGCTGAATGGCAGCGTGTCCATACGTTCCCACGGGCCGCTGGGGCCGCTGGGGCCGCGGCAGTCGCAAGGCCCGGCAAGCGGCAAGGACCGCAAGGACGCACAGGTGCACGCCCCCCCCCTCCCCCCCAAGCCTCCGAATGAGAAAAAGACAGAGCGAGGGCGCTAAGGTATGTATATCTACCAAGACGCATCAAGGTTGGCAAAGGGAACCTGTTGAGGAAACCTCCGGCCGTCTGCGGCTTGTCCAAAGGGCCCAGCCCAAGGGCTGCGCGCCGGCCCGGCCAAGGGCCCGGCCCCTCGGCAGACCCTCGGCCCTCCCAAAGACAAAAGGAGATCTCGCTCTGTCTCTCCCGCACCCTTACGGAGAGGCCCATGAGTGCGAGAGAGACAGAGCTACGAAACGACTCTCCTGACCCTTTCCCTCCCCGACCGAGCAGGCCCTGACCCTGCCCAACCCCAACCACACACCCACGCGGCGCCCTGTGCTTGCCCTGCAGACTGATTCCGAGAGAAATTTTCGTCGCTCTGTTTCTCTCATACTCATGGGCCGTGCTGTGTGAGTGCGAGAGAGACAGAGCGACGAAACCGACTCTCGGAATCAGTCTGCTGGGCCTACCCGCCGGCGCCGAGGATTTCCCACATCGCGCGAGACGAATGAAAATCAATTTCCGGCACTGCCTGCGCCCTGCGCCGCCCTGCGTGCTCTCGCGCCAAAAACAACCAGCGCACCCTCCGCAGGGACAAGCCGGAAGCAACTTTTCGTTTCTTTCGGCGTTTTCGTCGTTTGTTTTTGTTTTTATTTTTTTGGCGCACAAGCCGCCTGCTCAGCGCCATCCGGATTGAAAGCCGAGCCGCCTCGTGTCTCGCTGTCATGCAGGCCACCGCACCGGCCTTGGCTCGCCTTGGCTGCCCTGCCACCGGCACTGGCTTGACTTGCCGATCTGTCACAACGAGTTAGGCCCCCGACATGGAGCCGGCCCGGCCCTTCAACGGGGCCACGGGACCACTTTTTTCCCTCAGGGGTTTCGCTGGTGTATCCGAACCCGCGACGGGGCCATGCCAGATTCGGGGGGCGCGCGCAGAGCGCGTACAGTGTGGGCACCGCCGCAGGACGGCCGCCTCGACGCAGAGGAGCGGCCAGCTCGCCAGCAGCCTGATTCCGAGAGTCGTTTTCGTCGCTCTGTCTCTCTCGCACTCGTGGGGCGTCCCGTATTGGTGCGAGAGAGACAGAGCGATGGAAACGGCTCTCGGAATCAGGCTGCAGCTCCAGCGATAGCGCTGCGCTTCCCTCGATACGTTATCTGGGTGGTGCAGCCGCCCCGCCCCACCGGCCCGCCAGGCCACGCCCCGCATCGGTACGCCCTACAGGCCTAGGAACGCCCCGCCCGACCCGCGTCGGTACGCCCTACAGGCCTCCAGAGGAACGCCCCGCCACGCATCAGTACGCCCTAAAGGTCGAGCACGCCTTGGAACGCCCCATCCCGCCACGCATCGGTACGCCTGCAAGCCCTATACACGTCTAGGAGCGGCATAGGCATCGGTACGCCCCGCACGCTTAGGAACGCCTCAGCCCGCCCTGCGACGGTAGGGAGGGTGTACGGCCTACAACAGGCCTAGGAACGCTCCGCCCCGCCCCTTGCTTTCATCGGGGACGGGTTCGGTTCGATTGCCGAAAGGCACAGAGGCGTCCAGGAAGTGCAGGGAAACCAGTCAGGGGCTGCCAGGGCCCGGCCGGCCGGTTCAAGGTCCGACACCATAAACAAGCCAGGCGACGCCTGGAATGTCGTCAATTTCATCGGGCCTCTTTGCATAGTCCCCGTCATCGCTTCGGGGCGCCCCGAAGGCCACGCCGAACGCTGACTCCTAACAGGGCTCTGCCTCTCTCGCACCCCTACAGACTGATTTCGAGAATCGTTTTCGTCGTTCTGTCTCTCTCGCACTGTGGGGCGTCGCGTGTAGATGCGAGAGACAGGGCGACGAAAACGACTCTCGGAGTCAGTCTTGCTGCGGAGCGCCCCGTACGCGAGAGCCAGGGCGACGCTCAGTGGGGGAGGCGGCCAGAACTCTAGACGCGTTTTGAGCTCCAGAGCCGCTAAACAGGACTCGAATCGAACGTGTGACCCCACCGATGGATTGCTCTAATGCATTTGGTGGGGTCACACGTTCGGTTTCGAGTCCTGTTTGCGACTCTGGAGCTCAGAACGCGTCTAGAGTTTTGACCGCCTCCGCCGGTCCTCTGGCCCACTGTGCGAGGGAGCTGCCCAGCCCCCACAGGCTCAACCTCGGCGCCGACAAGCGGGGGAGGGAGTCTCGCACTGCCACAACCTCGACAACCTCGACCGCCGGCTGACACGGTGACTGATCCAAAGGACGGTTTTCAGTCACCAAGGAAGGTAAAATGCACTGCACCCAGCGGGGCTCGAACCCGCGACACTCTCGATACAGCAGCCGAGACTCGGTGAGAAAGATGTAGGTATACTAAGGCAGTCAGAGGCGCGAAAATACGGAGCATACAGATGGTTCTTCTGTCTCTGCTATCGGGCGGGCAGGGCAACCCGCTCGGCAACTCGCTCGCACCTAAAGGGAACGCCCCATGAGTGCGAGAGAGACAGAGCGAAGAAAACGACTCTCGGCATCAGCCTGCGGGCCAATAGCAAGACGCGCGCGCGCCTGAAGACAGAAAGGGGGGGACTGCCTCTGCACTCGTGATGCAGCCCCCTCCCCCTCTCCTTTCACCTGCTGGAAAAACAAACCCGGGCCGGGGGCAGCCCCGCGACGCCGCGACCGGGATCCACCACCACGAAACAAGTGTCGACGTACTGCCGGAAAGCAACGGCGGCGTCCTGCAGTGGCGGCCAAAACTCTGGACGCGTTTCGAGCTCCAGAGTCGCTACACAGGACTCGAACTGAACGTGACCCCACCGATGGATTCCTCGTTCGGAGAGCAATCCATAGGTGGGGTCACACGTATGGTTCGAGTCCTGTTTGGCGACTCTGGAGTTCAAAACGCTTCCAGGGTTTCGGCCGCCTCCAAAGGTCTTCTAGCCCACTGTGCGCTCCGGCGGTGCTGACTGTCGGTACTTACATCGTCGTCGGGTACGGACGACCGGCGGTGCTTGGGCACGCAGAACAGGGTGGCGGGGCGGAGGCAAGGCGAAGATTAATCCAAGGGAATGCGTTGGTCGGCCGTCGAAGCGGCGAAGCCTTCAACATCCACTTCGCCTTCAAGTTCACGGTCGAGCCATCCTCGCTCGGCGTTCTCCTCCAGCCGCTGGAATGGCTGCAGCAACAGCCTGGAAGCCTGGAAGGCCTGGCCCCGCGCAGCAACAAGTAGACGGCCAGCAGCGCCTGCCGGGCTGCCTCGCACTTGCACAACCACTACACCACTCCGGACCGCCGTACGCGCGCAGAACGCAGCACGCACAGCGCAGGCGAAATCCGACGTTTCAGAAGGGATCCTTAGCGCACTCACACACAAACAACACACTCGTTGAGACACTCCGCGCCAAGCAAGAACACGCTCCGACCGCCACGTTTCGCCGGGACGAGCCTCGGAGGGGAACTGAACTGACTGAAACTCGACTCAAAACTCACTCACTCCCTCTCCTCCACTCCCGCCCCGCTCGCCGCCGGGCCGGGCGGGCAAGCGTGCAGTCCGTGACACCCCCACCCTCTCCCACCAAGAGCGGGCCAGGGGCGCGGCAGGAAAGGGGGAGGGGTGGGGAGCGGCGCCGAGAGCCGAGGCTGCTGCCGGACGAGTGGCCACCTTACCATCTCCTTCCTTGCTTCCCGCGTCCGGATGGCAACCCGGAGTGGGAGGCGAGGCATACTGTTCGGAATTACTGCGGAAGCATAAAGGAGTCGAGTTCGTAAACAAAACTTCCGATCCAAATCAGATTCCCCTCCAGTAGTGTGCAAGTGAAAACTATCACCTGAGTTCAAACAGCCAAGTGCACTGCAACTGCTTGTGAGGTTGGTCCAAGTCAGCAGCCGTTGATCGAAGTGTCACAAGAAATTTAAATTGGTTCCATGATCAATGTGTAGCAGCGTGTATCTGGATTGCAGAATTCGGAATGTTTGGGGTAAAAAGTTCTCAGAAAGTGCAACAGTGCAAAAGAAAGGGAAGTTTTAAACAAAGAGACAAAATTTCTGTAAATGCTTTATTGGTTGTATTTATTCATGATTAAACAATGTGTCACTTACAGCACTGCACCTGTAATCAGAAAAGAAAAATGTTAGAACACAGAACACTCACTGAAAAACTAAAAATCTAGCACAAGGATTTTGGCGCACGCAAATAAATGAAGCACTACAGAAAAGGGCCCTAAAATGATGCACCAAAAATTTGTTTCTCTCAATACTAGTTGGTTGCCAAAACAAAGATTGGCAACGGAAATGAGGGATTAAAGCAACTGATGTCAGCGATCTTGGTGGTATTGTGTGTCACCACAACCATTAAGAGTAGCAAATAAATCCAATCATCATATCAGTCACAATGGAATTACATTCAATTCACAATTAAACAAAGAGCAATTTATAACAGACCTCAAATAGCTGATGTCAGCGATCTTGGTGGTATTGTGTGTCACCACAACCATTCAGAGTAGCAAATAAATCCAATCATCATTTCAGCCACTATTGAAGTCATAGGCATGTCATGTACATCGAACATAGAGAAAATTATAAGAGCTACAAAGCAACTAATGACAAAAGCTTTAAATAACTGGAATCAGAGATCTTGGTGGTATTGTGTGTCACCACAACCATTAAGAGTAGCAAATAAATCCAATCATCACCTCAGTTCCAAATAAAATATACTGGACTTAAAAAAAAGTGTCACAAGTTCACAAGTCTGAACCGGCTTCAGCGATCTTGGTGGAAAAAGTGTCAGCATGGCACTCAGCTTGCAAATACTCTAGATTGGTCATCATTACGGTTCACCAGTGAACAGCACATTATCAGGTCAGCATGGACATTACTTTTAAGTGAGTGCGAGTACAGAAACACCCAAATACTGATACTAATAAGTCCACAAACAGGAAACTTGTTAAAAACCGACTCAGAGATCTTGGTGGCAAAAGGTGTCAGCATGGCACTCAGATTGCAAATACTCTAATTGCAGTCATCATATCGGTTGACGTAAAAATATATACTTTAAGAATGTTAAGCTATAGCAAAAAGGAAGTCCTAATATGCACAACCCCTTGAAGGTAGAAATGTTGACTCTCACAAACCTTAGAACGAACGTTCTTCCTCCAGTAGTCTTGTTGACCTGATGTTGATGCTCCCCAAGACCCCACACCATTCCGGCGCTCGGCACCCTAGAAAGAGTGAGACAAAAACCACGTCAGTAAAACTAAACACGTTCGAGCATTTAAATGCTGATGTCCGAGAGTCGTGTGCACACAAGTCAGGGATATTTTAAGGATAAAATACCACCCTGTGACAAAGTGAAAATTTCTGTCCCAACGGTATGGAGGCGGGAGAGGCAAGGAGCCAATCCCACTAACGACCGCTGGGAACACCAGAGGCCTTAAGTACAACCGAAAAACTTACGGATTGCTCACATAGCGTAAATTGATAGTAAATCACGAAAAAGTGAACACGTGGAAAAATTAAAAAAACGAGAACACTGTTCAACAGGTTGAGGTTACTTACGTGTGTGGATCTTAGACGAAGTTCAAGAAAACCACACACGACATAAATCTTTTAACAACTACTCAGATATTACGTCTATTAATTAACCATCAAAACTTTACTTACCTAGTCCCCATTATACGCGAGAGGACGCACCAAGACAGAATTTGAAACGAAGGGGACAAGGATCTGCTTGACTGCCACCACGTGTTGCAGGCGCGTTCCTTTTATAACTGACGCAACAACGCGGAACAACAACAGCAAGGCGGTGATGATGACTGGTCAGTTTCGGTCCTGTTTTGGGTTCATCTCTGCCAAGAATCAGATAGCGATGTGCTTTCAAACCCAGCAAAGTGGTCCAATTTTGTGTTTTTCACGTTAGAATTAATTATCCTGCGTCGAGATTGACCAGTATTCACTCGAAACCGAAACCAAACGTTGGAAAGAAATAGACTTCTAAAGAGCGCAATCGAATCGATCTGGCAACCATGGCAACGTGTTGACACCGGCGGGCGTTTGCGCGGGTTTTGCCGGTTGTCCGTTGGTCGAGCAGTTGGCAGTTGATTGATCATCGTCGTCGTCGAAGGAGGTCCGCTTGTTAATTCTCCGTTTCTCTAACTTCTTCATCTTCCAAAATGTCAGGCCGTGGCAAAGGAGGTACGTAGAAACTCGCCACATTTTCGTTATGCCTCTCGCACTCGCTCGTTGCGTTCCTGTTTCTTGGACGTGCTTCGTGATATTCCGAATTCATCCCCCGCCATGGCGGTTAGTTTTTATCTTATCTTTCGCGACTTATTTTCACCGGTCTGTCTTTTCGTAACGACTGATCTCACACTGAAGGAATGGGTCTTCGTCTTTAAGTCGGGTCGAATCTTTCATATAGTCTTGTAAAGTTTCGCCTTAACCTGATCCTCCCTCAGAAGCCTGTTCCTCCTGCTCGCTTGAAAGTTTCTTCGTACATAGCCTTTCGCTCTACGTTTATTTCTAGGAAATGACTTGCTCACCGGTATGTGAGCTTAACGCGAAATTCGTACCCTTGCCCCTTGCTTCCCTGCTCATTGCACCTCCCTTTGTTCTCATGACATTTTGTAAAGCTTCACGTCAAACTGGGCGATTTCACTCAATCACTTAAACAGAAGCATGAGACCAAGTTCTCTTTACATGTGTGTTTCTTTATGTGAATCCTTTGTTGCAGGCAAGACCAAGACCAAGGCGAAGTCTCGCTCCAACAGGGCAGGACTGCAGTTCCCCGTTGGTCGTATCCACAGGCTGTTGAGGAAGGGCAACTATGCTGAGCGTGTCGGTGCTGGTGCTCCAGTCTACTTGGCGGCTGTGATGGAATACCTTGCTGCTGAAGTTCTGGAATTGGCTGGTAATGCAGCTCGTGATAACAAGAAGTCTAGGTAAGTAATGCACACATGTGTGAACCCTTGCTGAATAAGCTCTTTCAAACAATGTCACTGAAACTATTGTCCCATTTACAGGATCATCCCCAGGCATCTCCAGTTGGCTATTAGGAATGACGAGGAACTGAACAAGTTGCTGTCCGGCGTTACTATTGCCCAAGGTGGTGTGCTACCCAATATTCAAGCTGTTCTGCTACCTAAGAAGACTGGTGATGCCAGCAAGAGTGGCAAGTCCTCCAAATCTCAGTCCCAGGAGTATTAATATGTTGATAACTATCACATTTTGTTTTATTATGGAAGTGGGTGCCTAGGAGCCAGGCTAATATTGACGCTTTTATGTAACTGATGTTGGTTCAGGTTTACCCAAATTCCAGTCTTATATTCATCACACTGTCATGTCATGCGTTACTTTCTGAACTTCAATAAACGTTTCACCCTTAACTGTGCTAGTGATTTAAAATTTCACATCCCACGTCACTGAGGTCATGCAAGATGAATGTACTTGTCTTGTTCTGAGAGTCTGATGCTATCTTCTCAGAGGAGCTGGGTCAGTCCCAGCCCATGATAATCATTTTGCGAACTACTAGACACTAACATGTCGCATCACTGAGGTCATGCAAGATAAACGCACTTGCCTTGTTCTGAGAATCAGAAGCTCTATCTCCATGGAAGTGGGGAGGCTGGGTCAGCTTGGGCCTATGGTTATGCATACTACTGGAAGTCTGATAGTTCAGATATTTAGAGTGGACTAGTGGTTTGCAAAGCTACATCACCACCCTTGGGGTCTCAACTTTAGTAACTTGAAAAATTGTAGCTTAATGGCTGTTAAACAATCTTATGGCTTCAGGGATTTCTTAGACAAATTCATGTGGGATGTCATGTCAGGAGATGCCACGCTACAGCATAGAAATAAGTGAACAAAGATGGAAGTTAAGATTTAGGATAATATTTATTATCAGAATGAAAAAATACAGAGGTATAAAAAAGGCACTGGTCACATCATACCTAATTCTAAAAGACTCAATATGCAAAGGTTACAAAGATCAATAAGAAAACAATCACAAGTACAGGAAATATGAAGGCACTACACCACACATGGTGACAGAAAAACCTGAAACTCTCCAGATTTGAGACAAAACTATTTATATTCCTACAGATAAGTCACATAAGAAGCAACATCGAAAAAGTTTGATCACTTAGCACAACAATATTTTCAGGTACATACTGCATAAAATGGGATAACTAAAGGTATGAATGAACAGAAGTATGAACACTCAAGTACCAACACTAGTCAGATGGTACTTACAAAGTATAAATCACAGAATGCACAGAATTCATTAACAGCAATTTTTTGGGTCCCTCAATTATTTGAAACAAAAGTAACTAAAACTTCAGGGCACAGAGTTTGTAGCAATTGCTATTGGCCACATCACAGGCCCCTTCAAAACAGCATCTCCCAACGCAGTCCTTATTTTTAAGAACAATCTTTTGAATTCCAGGCCACATCCCTTTGACAGTCGGAAATCTAACAGTGTTTTCCCATCCATATCAATGACACTGGATTTGAAGATAAGTTGCATCTTGCGACGGTCAACTGTAGTAATAGTAATCTGAAACATAAAAACGAAGTTTAGAGATAAACTAAGAGCAACAGCAACCAGGCCTGACTCTTAAGGAACACTTACCACTCCCGGTGTGTGGACCTTCCAGGAGGAGCCCAGTTTCTCCATAAGGTTGCATAACAACTTCTCCGAATCCTCGACATTAGTACGTACAAAGAAACGAGTCATTCGCCTGACAAGTCTTTGGAACACATTCTGAAAATTAAAGAACATAAGAATTATTAGAATCTAAGCAATAATAAAACACATTCGGTACTTCAGCACGGGCATCACATACCTGACTGCCAGTGCTGCTCTGTGTATGTTGAGTTGGATTTAATTGGGATGAGAGCAGAAGATCCTCAATTTGAGCAGGTTGAGAAAAGGAGAACCCAGGTCTCTCAACTTCTAGGCCATTTACAGAGTTGTCATTGGGCATGGCATTCCCATTTCCAAAGTGATGGTCTGGCTGAGATTGACATAGACGGGTGTCATCCATGCCAAAGGGTGGAGAAAGATCACTTCCTGAGCACAAACGCTTGGGTAAACCTGGGCGCCCACAGTCAGGGGTAGACACTGTAAAGAAAAACAAAACTTAACACACAATTCACCAATGACAGCTATTAGGGCACATTCAGCAATCAACTTGTAGGTTTTCTTGAAATGAATCACTAGGAGGCCACTACAGAAGCGCACACCATTTTCCTAACTTTGGTATTCTCGCTCTATGATTCAAACTCTCATACAGCTAGATCACCAAAGATAGGACAACAGCGTAAATTGCAAAGTTGCTATGTTGTCACAATGCTTGTTGCTCCCTGAAGGAGGGCCAGGGCCATGAGGGGCTCTTCTGTCCCTGCTTTGGTAATCTAGCTTTATGGCCTTTCAAATATTACATACCGCCAAATCACCAAAGAAGCAACAGGAGCAACTAGAGTGAAGGATATCCTGTGAAGCGGAAAACTGAGTTTGAAAGCCCTACATAAATGACAGGTACTAAAGACTCAGACGAACAGCAACATGAAGCACAGTGATCGATGTTCCCACGTTGAGTTAGCAGGACCCCAGGACAGGCACTGAGTTATCTGAGACTCAAATAAAGCTCAGAGTCACTTAGTACCTGAACAAGGGACCTACAGTACTGATGAGATGGATACTGTAAAAGGCTGGAAGGACAACTGACTGAACTACGATGAATGTAGTCATACAATCTCCGAGAAGCCTAAGGCCACTTCACAAGAGAGCTTTGAAGCAAGACTGGAGAAAATAAAATGAAGACACTCATCGTGGTTCAGACAAAACACCATCACCATCACCAGCAGTTTCAAAGAAAAATTTCTTACTTAGATTTTTCTGAAGCTTCTTCTGGAACCAACGATGGTTCTTTATCTTCTGAATGGAGTATCTTCCAGATGGCAGGGGAATCAAGATCTTGCGGACCAAGGAAAGGATCATGTTGTCAAGCTTTGACCACGGGGTGACTCCCATGCTTTTACCATCCTTCCAAGCAAGATACTCCGGGCAGTCTACAGTTGGTTTATCCCATGGCAGCTCTGAAACAAGGGAACATACTGTTCAAGAAAAAGACTCAAACACAAAGCCATGCAGACCCTAAAAAAGAAAAGTAACAAAAAAAAAAAACCTGAAAAAGAAAAGTAAAAAAAAAAAACAACATAAAAATGACTAAGACTACAAGTGAGAACAAACCATGCTGTCAAATGCCAGTGTGCAGGCAGTCGTGCCAAGTGCTCACCTCGTAGCTACAAGCACTTCATGGGGAACAGCAACAACCCTGACTTTGGTACGGTAGCTTTAGGATACAAAATGCACACACCTTCAGCTAGGATACCAAAGAGAGGGGCATTGCGTCAATACAGCTTCGTGAGGAAGTAGCTATGGCACAAACAGGTGTCTGAAATAATGGAGCAAAAGGGACAAACACAAAACGTATCTAACTTATAAGGATCAAAACCACCACCAGAATCTAGTGGATATTTTAACTAATGGACAGCATATAGGCATTGCTAAGAAGTCTTGATAGAATCATGAGATAAAATCATGTGCAAAGACAAACTAATGAGGCAGTAGGGCAGAATGCAGCAATACATGGACCATGCAATGAAAACATCATTCCACAAATCCCAACAATTAAAAGCCAATACAACCAACAAAACATGCGACATGCTTAATGGCTACATGCAATTAAGTCATATACTTGACTCACCTCCAGCAAGCATGGCCACCAGAATGACTCCACATGACCAAATATCGGCAGGTTCTGCATGATAGGCGCGCATCAACACTTCAGGTGCAACATAAGGTAGGGTTCCACACCGCTTTTCGAGGCAGCGCTCCTACAACAGCGCCAGCATCCTGCATTACACCAGTTTTTGACACATGATATTTGTGTGACACACATGATGTAACTCAATGCAGCAAAGTCAATATAGTTACCTTTCCGTTCATGCGGAAGATGGTGGCCATTCCAAAGTCTGATATTTTTAAGGTAAGGTGCTCATCAAGTAGTAAATTTTCAGGCTTCAAATCTCTGTGAGCTACTCCATGACTATGCAGGTATTCCTAAAAATTTTCAAAAAAGGAATGTCAATTACGTAGTTTTGGAAAATTAGACTCAAGAGGCAAAAAACAGTGCAACAAATCCAACTACTCACCACTCCTGAAATAAGCTCCATAAAATACTTCTGGGCTTCCCACTGTGCCATCCCTACATCTGGCTCAATTCTATCAAATAATTCACCACCAGCAGCATATTCCAAAAACAGATATTCCAGGTTTCCTTCCCGCCGCTGTCCATAGAATTGGATAACATTGGAATTGGACATGAGCCTGTGGATGGCAACCTCTTTTTTAACATTGGTTCGTGCATCTGGATGCTTATGGAGGTCTATGATTTTCATTGCCACAGCTTCTCCAGTTGAATTGTTTAGTAACAGCTTGACCCTGTTGACATGAGTAAAAACAAAATGATTATTGTACATCAATTCTAATGATAAAGATAAGAATAAATTGAGAAAGTAGGTGGAGGAGAAAAAAAAATACTAGTTGAGATTTGAAATAATACACCTCTGCATTAGCATCAGCCCCACTGTTTGACATGGATGTATGGGGTCAGAAGTACAAACAGAATGAGCACAGCAGGGCCTCACTAATTACCCTTTCAAATCACACCTAACGGTGAGAAGTCACATAGCAGGCTAACTTTAATTTCTCTATGTGCTGAGCAAGAACATGACGAAGAAAAAACATTTAGGAAAGAGAACTAGCATAAACTACGTCGCTTTAAAAATGTGAGGAAAGAAAATGTACTTACTCTCCATAAGCACCTTCACCCAAGGTTTGGGCAATAGTCCACCCATCTACAAACTCGGAAACCATGATGACTTCAGCATACCCCTTTCCAGCAAAAAAATGGGAGAAACCTGAAAAACAAGAGTCACTAAATTAGGTGAAGAAGTAGAGAGCTAACAGCCAATCGCCCAACTGAGAAGGTTATCAGTAGCAGAATTATCATGACCTTAATTCAGAAATCAACAAACGCTAGGCGAATGAAGATATTGACATGAAGCCGCATTTGAGAGAAGTATTGAGACAAGATAAAAGGACATCCCCCACTACTTCATTCCCTTTTTTTTCTTTCCTTAAGAAAAAAGTTCATCCATGACCCAACCAAGTTTAAGGTTAAGAAGAGCTCAAGTTGGGAACAAAACCGCCGAAAGGTGGGTTAAATTTCACCAAACCTGATGACTCTCGCTACTTGGTGGTGGTTTAGCATGTCCGAGAGTTACGGCATGAGGAGGGCACGCACAAAACGTTCTAGAAAACTCGCCACAACTTATGTGGGTCACTATTAGGCTGCCAGGTGGACCGAGCCAAACCAGTTCACGGCAGGGCGAGAGGCGCCGCACCAGAGGCCACCCGCCACCATTTCCCACGCCATTCGCCACCAAATCTACCGAAACTGAAAAGAGCCACGAATCAAATTCCTTTCCAGATTCAAGCCGACCGACGCGCGGGCACCGCAAGCCAGCTTCTGGCCCCACCACGTAGGTCCTCAGTCCCTGCGTGCTGCGTGCGCCCAGGCAACCACACGGCGCCCAGAGCCACACTTTTTGCCTTTCGTCGTTCCAATCGATCAGGCCACGAAGCATCGGGGTCTGGTACCCCAGGCCCCAGGCCGCGGTGCCGTGAGCGAGGCCTCCATAAGGCTGGGCGAGGACAGACTCGGCTGCGCCAACGCCAACGTCTTGCCCAAGCCCTCTACGCCCCGCCTCGGCGCCGTGCCTCGCCGTGCCGCAGTGCAGTGTCCTGGCGGCGGCCTGTGGCCCTTCGGCCCCACCAAACCGCCGGCATATGTTTCAGCTTTATCACGCAGGGCCGCGGGCCGCTCCGGGGCGCGGCCGCAGCCAAATTCGAGCGAAAAGCGGTGCTCGGCGACCTGGGCCTGCAGCGCCTGCAGCGGCCAGCGTGACCTTCCACTAGCCTGCCAAGATACGCCGGCCGACGGTGCCGACGGCCTCGGGCCTCGCCACTCCAAAAGGGCGCCTGGGCCGCCGCTTTGCCGCACCGCAAGCCAGCGACGCACAGACACGGCAAACGCGGCCAACGCGCACGTCGCGGGCCTCTCGATAACCTCCGCGGACAAAGAGAACTTGAAAGTCGACGTGCCTGGGCAACCAAATTTCTTCACCAGGTTACAGCCTAACTTTCTAATGGCTACCGGCCACGAGAATTCGCCACCTCGCCTTAGCAACTAACCCGCCTCACTCCAATCAGATGATGCCAGATTCCGACAAAAACTCACCGCGTTCAACCCATCAAGTTCTCTGCCGCCACAGCCGGTCGAGGAAGACGGAATTAACCGAGGAATGTGCGAGGAACGCATTCATCCGAGGGCGGCCCAAAACCACCGTCACGCCGTCGGCTCCCAGATGTCCTTCGCCGATCACGTCTCGCTCGAAGGGAGAGGACCTTACTGCCGACTGTCGTTTGTTTACAGCTTTGCCTTTGGCGCGCAAGCGCAGCCAGAGCGCGCTGCGGTCGCGGTCGGCCAGCAGGTGGCGCCCTCGGCTCGGAGCGGCTGGCCACAGAACCTCCAGGCGAGGCGGTGTTGCCGAATTCCCGCCGAAATCCGAAATGGAATTCCACATTCCCACTCGCTTTAGCTTTTACAGTGGCTGGCGGAAGTTCGAAGGAAGGAAATGCCGAAAACCCAGATTAGGATAGTTTATCCGGTACCCGCATTACCTCTCAACGCACTTCTGTGTAACAAGGTCTTAAGTATTAGAGGCTTATTCGGCTCAAGGGATGGCGAAGGTCCAAGGAAAATGAATAAAACAATTTCTAAGAAAATCTGTAAGTTGAATATAATTCTGTTGATAATGTTCTATAGTCATCAATGGCCAAATATCACAAATAATAATAATAATAAATTTAAGAACAGAAACAACCAAACAAGATAAACATGCAGTTCTGAATAGTTGGAGTACAAAAATTAAAAGGACACTTTAAAACCACTGACATCTTTTACCAGCGATCAGAAATGAAGCACTTGAAAATCAAACAACACCATTGAACTGAACCTCAAGAAAAAGGAATGTTTGGAAACAGAGAGAGAGGGAGAGATGGAACTTTGGACAATGTTCAATATAGTTTCAAGGGCAAAATAAACTGTCATCTATCAATACCTTCCTTTTCTTTCACGAGGATCACTTGACCTACTTCGGTGGCCACCATTGTCATCCCAATTATTCCTGTGACCTCTGTGGTTTCCATAGTTCCTATTTCCAGAACGATTATAACCACCAGAGTCATATCCACCACCCTGATCGTATCCACTGCGATTGTATCCGCCTTGATCATATCCACTGCGATTGTATCCACCTTGATCATAATCATTTCGTTCATAGCCACCACTTCTATAGCCAGAGTCATTTGAACTTCTATGGTCTCTCCGACCTCTGTGGTCATTCTCTCTCTTTGAGTGGTGTCCGGACCGTCTTCTATCATCAGGTAGCATGTGGGAAGCATTTCTAGCTGACCAGTTGCCCTGAAGACTGCTTTGAGTCAATTTGTCTCGATTCATATCCCATTCATTACATGGCTGATCGTTGCCGGGCTCTTCTTCTCCAGGTGGTGGTGGTTGACCACCCAATGAGTGGCCTCTCCGCATGGGTGGACCCATCCCCATTGGTGGACCCATACCCATTGGTGGTCCCATTCCCATAGGTGGACGCATTGGTGGTCCCATTCCCATCGGTGCACCTCGAGTATTGAGCATATTTGTGCTCATCTGCAGTAGGCTGTCAAAGTCCACTTGAGAATTATACCCATTGTCATAGTTCCCTGGGTTTTGATCAAATCTGATGGGCATGGACTGACTTCTGTTATGATTGGGTACATTTCTTGCTCTCAGCTTGGGAAAATAGCCAAACAGACTAGTATCTTCAAACAACTCAATCGCATAAGATACAGAACAGGCATGCTTAAAAGTCACAAAAGCATATCCAGCCATAGATCCATTCCTATCCAATGGCATGACAACTTTTTCCAATGGACCCGCCTGGAACCAAAGACGTAGCACAAATTTAGCATTTGATGAATCTCAATTACTTGATATGAGACACATAGTAGATGCGATCAAGTTTATTAATGTAAAAACAACGCAAGGAAGGATGTAAAGTTCAGCTCATACCTGTAGGAATAGCTCATAGAGAATGTCTTCAGTAACTTTGTCACAGAGGTTTCCGCAGTAAAGTTTTCGTTGCTCTTCGTCATTATCGACCATGTGGTAGCTCATTGTCACAAGTAAATTGACTTAAAGAAGTCAAGCAGAGTCAAAGACTGTTTAAATTGGATATCAGGCTGCAGCGGACAATAAATGAGGCTGAGGATGCAAACAAATAAGACGCCTAACCCCACTTTCGTGTGGGGAGTTTTGAATGGATCGAACTTGAGTATCGAGATACATTTCGCCAAAATGAAAAAAATAAAATAAAAGTGTAGTGAAAAGCTCTAGTTAATAAGAAACATTCTCACGAGTGTAAATAAATACTTGAATGAAATAAGTCAGCTTCAACTTAATATAAGAGACCGTTCTGAAAATTCTCCGCCTCGGATATTTATTGCAGGTTGGTACCTCGTGTTTCTTCTGCTGTGTGTTTTTGTTTTCGAATGTTTTTGTTTGTTTAACTTGTACGTCTTGACAGTGGACTTGGCACCGAACCGGCTTATCTTAAGATTTTCACGGTAGGGCCTCTTTGTCATTCTAACAATATGTTACGGTCGTGCTGCGGACGTGCTCTAGGAAAAGCTACTGCCCTCCAGTCGTCTCCCAGCACTTTGTTCTCCCTCAGCAGAAGTGTTTGGTATAGTGGCTGTGCAGGGATGGAGGTTAGTGAGGTTTATTATCATTGCATGACTTCCCATTTTCAATTTTTGAAATTCAACAGAAACCTCCTTAGAATTTCTAAAAGTGAGAGTTTATTGTAATGATGGTTACTGTTTCATTTTCTAGCGCGGCCAAGAAAAACTTGATGGGTTCAACATCAGCTACGTCAGAACAGGATCAGGTCCAAATGCTGTTTTGTGCCTACCTGGAGCGTTAGGTCAGTTTAGGATACTGTGTATCAACAATTTTTTAAAAAGTTTGCAAGTGCTCGCTTTGTATGCGTTCATTAGTAACCTGTATTTTTGTCATTTTTATTATGAATGTGTCTTTCTTTGGAAAAGGTTCGGCATTGACTGATTTTCGACCACAACTGGAACACTTAGACAAGAAGAACTTTACAATTATTGCTTGGGATCCCCCAGGCTATGGACAAAGCCGACCCCCTGATAGAGACTTTACAGGTGATTTTTTTCATCGAGATGCTGATGTGGCATTAAAGCTCATGAAGGTACAGAAAGGTATTGAGTTACCCTTATAGATTTGTTGTTTTCTCAAACTCACTGTAACCTTTTTTTTTTTTTTGTGGTTTTGTTTCAGGCCCTGAAACTACCCAAATTTTCTATGTTGGGATGGAGTGATGGGGGCATTACAGCTATGATACTCGCTGCAAAGAACCCTTTGAACGTACATAAATGTGTAGTTTGGGGTGCCAACGCATATGTCTTAAAAGAGGAACTAGAAATTTACAAAAGTAAGTGGTCTCTGCCTTCTACAATCACAATTCAAACCATCCTTCTTTCTCACAGTTTGAAGAATTTTTGCTTATCACAGAAATTCGGGACATCAGCACATGGTCAGAAAAAATGCGAGCTCCACTTATAGAATTGTACGGTGAGGAATATTTCAGGACAACCTGGGAGAAATGGGTTGATGCATTCATCCATATTTATGAAGTTAATGATGGGGATATATGCAAAAAAGAAGTCAAACTTATTCAATGTCCACTGTTTGTAATTCATGGGGACAAGGATCCTTTGGTCTCCAATGAGCATCCTAAACACATCCTTGATGCAGTGCCACATTCCAGGTACATTTAGCCACCAAAATGTTGCAGCTGCTAGAGTTGCTTTGTCATTTGCACTTATTTTCTTGTTGCAATCTTTTGCAGAGTATTTCATTTTGTGGACGGCAAACACAATGTTCACCTCCGGTATGCAGAAAAATTCAATGAGCTTGTCTCTGAATTTCTATTGGAATGTGCTCCTGGTCAACAGGTAAGAAGAGTTCAAGGAGATCAGGATAGTAAATTATAGAAAGATTTGTCAGAGTGTTTGGAAAGTACTTTTTTTGTGTAGTAGAAATCACAATGTTTTTGCAGCTGCTAAAAGCTATTGGAGGGAAAATTCAAGTAGTAATTTCCAGTAATACAAGCATCATGGTGTTGTTGGTTGATAAAAAGAAATTTTATTGGTGTCCTGTCAAATCAAATGGTAACTGCCATCAGCTATTACCTGTCAGCACCAAAATGTAATGAGACAATAAAATTGCTATTTTAAGAATGAAAAGGAGTGCCATTATATATTGTGGATTAAATTTTGTCTAACGTAATATCTACCAAACAAGATTTTTTTTGTACAAGATTTTCTTTTTGTGACGTGTATTGAAGATTTATTGTACATACTCCAGATCACAACTTTCTTTTATCTGGCCTTGCATTATCATGGTTTCCTGTCTTCATTTATGTTCGGTATTTAAATTTTGCCAAATGATTTACAGTTTTATATTTTGCATTTAGGCGTTCACCAGTTAGAGGTGTTAGTTTTAAGGATTGTACAATATTCAATTGATCATCATTTGGCACATATCTCTGAATAAAAATTTTTCAAGCTTCAACAACTAATATATTGTATGCAATGTGCAGAATGAACTTTGTGCGTATGTTTACTCTCTAATTGATAAGAATTTAGGGCTATTACATATCATGACAATTTTTGTCTGGAGATGCAAATAATGTTGTTTGAAAACAATTGGTTTCTTACTGACGTTGAAAATGTCACGGTAGTCAACAATATTCTGATTTTTCTGAACACGCCAGAATTAGGGCTGAGAGTCTGCTGTCTTCAAGGTATGGGTTTTCTTGTTCAAGTTTTTTGGAAGTACTTTTTTGTGCAGTTGACAGTTGTTAACACACATCTATCTGTTAAAGCTGTGATCTGTGTTTTAAAGCATCAAAGTATGAGTAAAGTCCTCACTTCATAATCATCTGAGCTGGATAGAAATGAAGGCGACTGCAGAGACTTCAATGTATTCCTCTTATAATTTATGTTATGAACACATTAAATATATTACATTAAATATCAAAACTTCAAAGTTAGATGTGCTCCTTTATAATGAGTTGTGACTCCAATGTCAGGATACAAAACATTCACATATATCAATTGAATCTTAAAAATTATTAATAGAGATGTGCTTTTTCCTTTGAGATAATTTGCACTGATTCAAACCAAAGAGAAAATTCATAGTCAACATTATTTGTGTGATTATTTGTGCTTTTCTGTGAATCTCGGATTGCTGTATCCTCTCAAAATACTATGTTTTCAACTTCAGATCAGAAATACCTTTAACATATTATGTAACATCTTATTTGTACATTATTTCCAATGTCCACCAAATTCCTCCGATGGTTACCTTCGTCAGATAGCTTCTGATTTAAACCCTATTCACCGTATGAGAACTTTTCCTTCAAATGTAATGCCAAAGATACATAACTTAATATTTTTTAGTTGACTTGATATGTGAACAAATATTAGCAATCCAGCCAAATCTCCAATACGTCCAAACTTCTGGGGAAACCCATCAAATTTATGAAGAATGCTTCATGGAAGACTTATATCTACCGCTATGGATAGAAAACCCATAGTAGAATGTTCACTTTACCACTTTCTCTGCTAGTAAATTGCTGAGACTGATTTTCCAGTGAAAAATTTGTCTTGACAAATCTTGCGGTTGAAATTTCTAACTTACGTAGTCCCTTTGAAAATATTTATTTAAATTGAATAGCAGTGAAAATGCTAAAAAGAATTATCTACAAGAAGGCAATCTACATGTCAATTCAAGAGAACAAAAAGAAATGTTGCAAAGACACAGAAGAGAACGTTTAAATGCATTCACACCGATTCCTCTCGTTTTATCATGTATTGCAGCTGTCATAGTCCAAAGAAAGAGTCAATCCTCTTTGGTACACGAACATGCGCCCCGAAATAAGATCCACTATGACACAGCCCTTGCCTAGATGTAAGTCTTTCCTTTCCTTACTTACTTGCTTAAATATAGTTGAGTCACAACAGTATCCTCTGTTTTCTGGCTCATGATAAACCAGACACGCAAATATAACACAGACAATAATATTTATGTGAATATACATCTGATGTTAAACATTATTGCAAGTTGGAATGCCCTTAACAAACATTTAAAGTAAAATTTACATACATCAGACTAAGCAGGTGCTTGGAAACAACTTTGGTGTGAGCTGAAAGAGCAAATACTGTTATTTTTTAAGATAGAAGTAATAAATTTGCATTTAAGAGAAGGAGAGAGAAAGGAAGTATTGAAGATAAAGGGACGTATGAAGAAAAACACAGCTTATAAAGGAGAAGGAAATTTTCCACTTTCATTCACGTGGACGAATTCTATAGCTGCACTACAAAGCAAGCAATCATTCTCTAAAATATTAATACAGTGGCAGTTCACTCTTAATTATTTCCCCAAATCTGGTTATTGAATTGCAGTTTGAATTTAGCCCAAGCCAAAAGAATATATTTTATGGTCTTATTATACATCACTAACAATCCTCAGTGCCCTACTAATTTTTTCAAAATCTCAACATTCATGAGTTAGGTTTGAGATGAGAGATTGATAGGGATATTTGTTGACATTGTCCTTTCCAAACAAAGCTATAGGAGAATTTTTCCTTGTATTTTATTGTGTCCTGTTTAAGCCTCAATAAATTTAAATCTGAACTGTCAGTTCCAAAGAACTCATAACACATTCTCGACCATTGTTACAATCCTTTCCTTTCCCTTTTACCATGTGCAAGTCATTTTCTTTGGTTGTGCCACCCACCTTCCTTTCCCTCTCCCTCATATATATCATTTTAGCATAAACAATATTTACAAAAAGAAATGTTCTTATGATATTCTGATAGTATAATGAGCTTAGGAATCTTCCGTATTGTGTTTAGCAAGAGCAAGTAAAATCATTGTGAGCTCTTTCTTGTTAATCTTGCCGTCCTTGTTGTAGTCAACTCCTTGCAGGATAGTCTCCTCAAATTCTCGGAGATCCGTAGCATCATAGTCCTACAGTGAAACAATAAAAAACAGTCAGAGAGCAGATTTAAACAGCCACAACACTTTCAATTTTCAAAATTTGGACTTATTTTGCAAGGGGATGTTGGGAGGAAGGACAGGTTTGAGGGAGTTCTGGACGAGTCTGGACGACTGAAGGGGGCTTACGCCTGTGAGGTCGGCCACCCATTCACCCTGCAACACTGCGGTGCGCAGACGGTGGCCACCCTGCTATCCACAGGCGCTCCTTGACTTGAGAGGCTGGACCACAATTGATCGTCTGCCATTTCGAGCCCGGCACTCGTGCTCGCTTTGCTCAGCGCGCACAGGCCGGCCGTACAAAAAGAGGGGGTGGGGTTTACCTCGGTGGGCCGGCGAGCGAGCGGGACTTGAAGCGCCTGTGAGGTAGGCCACCCATTCGCCCTGCAACACTGCGGTGCGCAGACGGTGGCCTACCCTGCTGTCCACAGGCGCTAGAGTCACACATGGCATTTTATAGAACTTTTGATGGGGATTTTGTGGGTAGAGACCCCGCAAATCAGGCGGCGTTTCTCCTTATGCTACACATTTTATCATGTATATCACCGCGTCGTGTCCATATGCCTTCAGAGGAGGGGTCTAGAAAAAGAGTCGAAAACGTTGTATCACATTTGTGAATCTCACCTTCTTCACAAGCTCCAAGAGGTCTTTGAGGAAGCCACGCAGCTCTTCGTTCTCAATCGTGCCGTTGTTGTCCTGCCAACAGAAGGGGTTGGTGTGAAAACGGTCGCGTCGCGCCAGCTGAGCGTGTGTTGCCTGTCTACCAGGCGCACGTGCAATGGTGCAACTGTACCACCACGGCGCACAGTGGGCCACAAGACCAGTGCAGGCAGTCAAAACTCCAGACGCGTTTTTAGCTCCAGAGTCACTCGTTCGGAGAGTAATCCATTGGTGGGGCCACACGTTTGGTTCGAGTCCCATTTAGCGACTCTGGAGCTCAAAACGCGTCTGGAATTTTGACCGCCTCCTCTGGTCTTCTGGTTCACTGTGCGCCGTTCGCCGTGGCATGGGCGTTCTTCCACAATCTTGCAGCCCTTCATCTTTTTCCATCCGCCATGATTGACCGCATGCCGTTTGTATGAAAATAATAAAGTGATACTCACGCGGTCATACAGGGAGAAGACGCGCTCGATGTCGTCCTTGGTGAGCTTGGTGGCGCCCTGAAAATACAATCTGTTAGTTTCAGGAGACGATGAGATGCGGTGCTGAAAAATCATTCCGAACAGACTACTTCCTTCCAGTTACCGCCGTGATATGTCTCTCTCTATGCCATCCAGTGAGGGAAACAGTGTTCCCGCGATAAGTATGCAAAAGTTCCCACAGTGCACCGGTTCGTCGGAGGGGTTGCCAACCTCAGGTCGTTGCTTTTGGAGAAGTTGCCTTAGGCGCGATTTGAGCTGATGCATCGAGGGGACTTTCGCCTACTTATCTTTTGGCAACACTGAGAGGAATTTTACACAATGAGGTAGGGTGAGAGAAAAACAAAAGAAATGAAATGAGGCCACACCAACAAGGAGTGAGAGGGGCGGAGAGAGGTTTCGTGGATGTTATGCATGCATATCGATAAGGAAATGCGAAGAGATAATATTACATCCAACACAATGCAGTGTCACACTAAATTACTGCGTAGTTTTTTTGTGCATGGTTTTTGCACAAAATTGAGCATGCGCGTGAAACGCACGACTTCATGCGCAGCAACGCCCAGCAACGCACACTTTCGTGCTTAGTTACGCACAAATTCGTGCATTTGAAAACGCACGCATAGTTTTCTGCAAGGCTGATGCACAAGAAATCTACATGGTAATTGGAGGTTCATGCGCCAAAACTCTACACAAGCAGTTCTGGAATCGTGCATAGAATAGGTACAGAAAGGAAGTCGGAAATAGCGGGATGAAGAAAGGAGAGATCTTGTTACAATGTTAGTACCAATCATATTTTTAAATGCACACACACAATTATCTGGTTTAAAAATGCACGCGAGGCACACATGCAGAGATAAATCCAATAACTAATCGATTAACCTTTTCTTCTTTTTGACCACCTTTCCGTCACCCGACACTAGAGTGCATTTTATCTTGAGCATCCATACATAATTACGAAATTAAGCAGCTCATCTAGTCATCTGCAGCAAGGCCCAAGACTTCAGAAGATTGTACAGTCGCACAATCTTGCCTTTCATCTAAACAAAACTGGTCGGATCGAAATTACCAGGCACTGCCCGTGCCTTACTTTGTACAGCGGCTTTACATATTGTACGTGCTGCTTTGAGAAATACTACTTACTTCCATTCCCTGCTGAGGAATGTCGAGGATAACAGAAGGCAAACTTTATCAGAGTGATGTCCACACAAGGAGAACTTAGTTAAATCTCCGGGGCGCGCACCCGTACAGGTGTCGGGTACTGGTACCCTCACGCCCGGAGCAGGATTAGAGAGAGAGAGAGACAGGGATTCAGACAGAAGGCAGAGGAGGGCACGACAAGAAGGGGAGGATTGAGAGGAAGTAAGTGCAACAGCCCCCACAGAGTGAAGCCAACTCTACGCGGTGTAAAACAGAATCCGGAGAACAAAGAAGGATTAGGGAAAAGGGGAGAATTGTCTGCAGAGAGAGGAGGGGGGGAGGGCGTACACTGTGAAAAAGGAGCTCCTGTTTTTGTTAATTCCAGTCGTTTGTTTTGCTGTGGAACTCCGAGCCTCACGGCCAAGCCATGGCCAAGCGGCGCCCTGGGGGCCGTCCATGAATTACGTAGCGATCTCAGTAGACTGATTCCGAGAGTCGTTTTCGTCACTCTGTCTCTCTCACACTCAAGCGGCGTCCCGTATAGGTGCGAGAGAGAGCGACGACTCTCGGAATCGGCCTGCTGCGGTGTGGGGTTATTTATGCGTGCGCTTATCCCAAAGCAACAAAGTAAATAAAGTCAAGAGATACACTTCACTACACTCATGACCTTACGTTAATTGGAAGTTAATTTGACGAAAATTTCGAGACTTCACATTTAATCATTCTGACACAACTAAGAAAATCAACAAAATCTCAGTCACTTCAATTCGAATTTCTAGACTTTGTGGTTCTCGCAGAGAGACAGCCATCACTGGTATAAAAGAAGCACGGGAAAAGTATGGAACATGGCTGGTCAATTATTTACCTGGGCCGTCTGTACCTTGCCATCTACGGAGGTCCCGTGAGTACAAGTCTTCCGTACCACTTTTCATGAGATTCTGACTGATGGGGACTTCAGGAACTAGTGCGGAAGGGCCACACTTTATTTTTGTACCCATTTTCCGTATTAAACTACGGAGTTTTCGGCATTGATGGGCTTGGGCTTGACGTAATTCAAGAACGAGGCCCCAGGAAGGCGAGAAACGGAGTGGGACTTCCCCGGCTTGGCAGTGTGGCGACAGAGCCTAGAAGGGCTGGAGGGCCGGGCCGGCGCGCTAGCCGCTTACCTTGAAGATTTGTCTGCACAGGAAGTTCTCCTTCACAGGCAGCAGTCTGCAAAAAAATGCAAAAAAAATATGATATGTTTATGAACAATAACGCCGGGAGGTTGACATGGACAGGTTCCAGATTTGGACTCACTTGGCCATCTCTGAGAGCTGCAGCCTACCATCGTGGTTGGCGTCGAACACCTGGAGCTGTGAAGGCAGAATGACGTCAAAATTTCATTGATAAACACCACGTTACCATTGGTGCACATACACCGCAAATGTATTTGTACAATTCTGTACGTGGTCTCACACACTTTTAAACATGCGAACTTTTTCGTACAAATTTGTTCGCAGAATCGCACAAATTCCTGCGACTTTGCGTGCACGTGTGCGCAAAATTGGGTGGTACCTTGTACATAAGTTATACAAGGAAATTAAATGGGTATTCTCCGTCAAATCAGTTGACAAAGCAAATCAGGTGGCTTTGCTTGCCACAAAATTGGCAAGCAGTTTCGAAAGCCAAAAATTGGCATGCCTGGAACTGAAATCTTCAGCAGCTTTTAGGCACCTCGGCCGCCTGCATGCCAAATTTTGGCAAGCTGGGGAGCGTTTAAGGGCCAAGCTTGCCAGTTTTTCGCATTCAAAACGGCAGGCCAATTTTGTGGCAAGCAAACTTGCCACCGAATTTGCAATCGAAGATAATTTCTAAAAGAGGGAAAGAAAGCGCTGGCAGCACACAGTGGGCCAGAAGGCTGGCGCGGCCAAAACTCCAGACGCGTTTTTATCTCCAGTCACTAAAGAGGTCTGGGACAGAGCGTGTGACTCTACTGTACCAATGGATTCCTCTTTGGGCGAGCAATCCATTGGTCGGGTCACACGTTCGGTTCGAGTCCCATTTAGCGACTCTGGAGCTCAAAACGCGCCCGAGATTTTTTGGCCACCACCCCCGGTCTTCTGGCCCACGGCGCAGCGTAGCTCACCATGGTGTCTGTGTATTCGATCAGCTTGTCCTCGCTCACGTCGTTGATCTTGGCCTCCTTCAGGAGGTCGCGCAGGAAGTTCTGGAGCAGAAAGAAAGACAATAGCTGAGACACGGCGGGGGGATTCAAACTTGGCCGGGACCGCATCCAGGTGCTTTCCTTTGTTTTGCGGGCAGAGGAGCTAATTCCCCCAAAAGTTGTTGCGCAGCGGGAAAAAACGAGGTAAACGAGGTGAGAGAGATTTGGGGTGTTTGCGAGGCAGTGACAGCAGTGTTGCCACATAAGAAGTAAAAAATTTTCCCCGATGGACCGCTGTTGATGTCCGCCGCTGCATGCCGCGTCGAGGGAAACCAAAGACGGAACTGAAAGACGAGGAGTTTGTCGGGGATGCACTCTGAAACAAGATGAGGCGCGTTCTGTGCACCAAAGAGAGATCTCTGAAGCGGCGCTGCTCCGCGCTACTCAAGAAACTCCGGACCTGCTTGGTCGTTTCTGCTGACAGGAGCGTCGCCCCCACTGTACTTGGGCCGCACTTGTGGTTTGAGCGCGACGTCTTGAGGGAAGGGAGAAGGACGCCCTTCTCTGGGGTCTGGGGGAAGTTTACTGTCTGTCTGTCTGTCTGTCTGTCTGTCTGTCTGTCTGTCTGTCTGTCTGTCTGTCTCTGTCTCTCTGTCTCTCTGTCTCTGTCTCTGTCTTCTTCTCTCTGTCTCTCTCTCTCTCTCTCTCTCTCTCTCTCTCTCTCTCTCTCTCTCTCTCTCTCTCTCTCTCTCTCTCCAAAAGATTTTTATCGTTTTTTTTAAATTAATTTTTTTGGTGGCGTGCCTTGGCAGAGCGCCGCACAGTGGAGGCGCTCTAAATCCCGGATGGGTTTTGAGTTCCAGTGTCGCTAAATGGGACTCGAACCGCACGTGTGACTTCACCAATCGGTTACTCTCCGAACGAGGAATCCATTGGTGGGGTCACACGTTCGGTTCAGTCCTATTTAGCGACTCTGGAGCTCAAAACGCGTCTCGAGTTTCGGCCGCCTCCACCGGTGTTCTGGCAAATCCACTGTGCGGCGCGCTCTGAAGGGCGTGGCCGTCCATTCCGGGAGGGCGTGGAGCGGACTGGAACCACTGGAACGCCGGCGTCCTTGAACGGCGAAGGAAGAAGGACCACACCGGAAAGAGGCATTTCCGGAACGCGGCCTGCCTGGCCTGGGCCTGCCAGCAGACTGAGAGTCGTTTTCGTCGCTCTGTCTCTGTCGCACTCATGGCGCGTCCTGTATTCGTGCGAGAGAGACAGGGCGACGAAAACGACTTTCGGAATCAGTCTGCTGGGCTGGGCCAGGCTGGGCCCACTAGGCCCGGCCAGCTAGCTGCAGCAAGGGCGTGACCGGGCTGCCCGAGCAGCGCGTTCTCGAGGCGCTATGCTCCGTCTCCCTCGCAGGCTGGCTGAGGGCGCGCAGCCGCAGCAGTGAGCGAGAGAGAGACAGCGACGAAAGCACCGTTCGGACCCAGCCTGCGCAGCGCGGCAAGTTCCGAACGTTCCGAAGCGACGCTCTTTGAGGGGAATTTCTCGGTTTCGGAAGGCGCGGCGCACACTGAGCCTGATGACCCAACCTAGCCTCAACAGCAGGCTGATTTCGAGAGTCGTTTTCATCGTTATTTCACTCTCGTACTCATGGGACGTCCCATTTGCGTGCGAGAGGAGACAGGGTGACGAAAACGCATCTCGGAATCAGTCTACAGTCCTACTGTCCTGAGCTCTGCGAGCGGTCGCCAATCTTGGAGTCGATCTTAGCAAGGTAAGTGGGATTCGAATCAAACACCTTGCAGAATGATTCCGAGAGTCCTTTCATCGCTGTCTCTCGCGCTCCCATACAGGGCGCCCTATGAATTCGAGAGACAGCGCGACGAAGGCTGACTCTCGGAAGACTGGTTAGGTTAGACTGGGTCTCGGAATCAGTCTGCAGGTGCCATTCCACTCGGGGGAGGGACTGCGTCGACGGCGTCGCCTTTCTGGGGATCATTCCGGATTCCGTTCACTTCCGCTTCCGGTTGCGGCCTTCCGGGCTTCCGGGGCGCCATTCCCACGCGTGGCGGATCGACCCGGATTTCTCTCGGCGGCGAACGGCGGTGAAAGGGGCCGCGTTTAATGAAAGGGGCGCGGCAAGGCGGGGCGCGGCGGGGCGCGGCGGGCGCAACACAGAGCCGCCACACTGCAGCAAGCCCGCTGCACAGTGGGCCAGAAGACCGACAGAGGCGGTCAGAACTCTCGACACGTCCTGAGTTCCAGAGTCGCTTGTTGGGACTGGAACCAAACGTGTGACACCACCAATGGATTCCTCCTTCCGAGAGCAATCCATTGGTGGGGTCACACGTTCGGTTCGAGTCCTGCTCACCGACTCTGGAGCTCACAACGCGTCTAGAATTTTGGCCGCCTCCACCGGTCTTCTGGCCCACTGTGCGCCGCCCCGCTTCGCCCCGCGCTCCGCTTCCGAACCTCTTCAATCCTCGTTGCATGCCGAAGTGGCGCCCGTCTCGTAAAACTTGTCCAGTCCAGCCGCCTGCAGAGCAATTCGCTGTCTCTCTCGCACCTCTAGGGGAAGGCCCACGAGTGCGAGAGAGACAGAGCGAGGGGCGGGGCGGAAGTTGCCTGGCGCCTGGCCGCTTCGCCGCGGCCGCGTTGGCAATTCGTCGGCGAAGGCCTTCCAGAAGACGGACGGCGCGCGGTATTGACGGCGCCGTGTGTAAATCAAAGGAAATTTTTTCCGGTCCCCGCCCTCTCGTCTTGTCCTTCCCCCTCCGCTTCCTGCCTCTCTCTGCCCTCTGCTGCGCGACCAGAGAGGCGCGCCGTGCGGGGCGGCGCTATCGCCGCGCCGCGTTGCGATACTTCGTCTCAGCCTTCTCAGAACCACTTGCTCGCGGTCGGTCTCTGAGGCCTCCGTGCCTATCCTGCCTTCTCTGTCCGCGCTTCCTGCCGCACCGCGGAGCGTCTGCCGCCTCTGCTCTGCCTCTCTCTGCCTCTCTCGCACCTCTATGAGAGGCGCCACGAGTGCGAGAGAGGCAGAGCGACGAAGTGAGAACAGCCAGCCCGTTGCGGGATACTTTCGTTGACACTTTTCAAACCACTTGCTCGCGGTACAGGTCCAGGGAAAGGGCTTTCGGTGCCTTCACTGCTTTCTGTGCCGCGCTGCACAGTGGGCCAGAAGACCGGCGGAGGCGGTCAAAATGCCGGACGCGTTTTGAGCTCCAGAATCGCTGGGACTCGAACCGAACGTGTGACCCCACCAATGGATTGCTCTCCGAACGAGGAATCTAATGGTGGGGGTACGCTCGGTTCGACTACTGTTTAGCTACCAGCATTTTGACTACCTCCACCGGTCTTCTGGCCCATGTGCACTGTGCGCTGTGCGTCGCTGTGCGGTACCAAGAGCAAGGGCATGAAAGCGTTTTTGTATTTGCTCTTCGGTGCGGGCCTGCCTGCCCTTGCCTGCCTGCCCGCCTGTGCCTTCGTTGCTCTCTCTCACCACTACGGGGCGCCCCACGAGTGCGAGAGAGACAGAGCGACGGGCCGCCATTCCGCGCGTTTAAATGTTTTCCCCTGTTTTTATTGTGCGGCCCGACGCGCCGGTCGACGTTTTAAAGGAACAATCCAGTTTCCTCTCATAACAGCGCTATGGGCCGGCCGAGCCAAGCCAAGCCAAGCCGCCCCCGCGGACGAGACCGGGAAGCGGAGCCAGTACAGTTGGAAACAAAAAGCAGCCTCCCCCGGCCCTGGCCAGCAGACCGATTCCGAAAGTCGTTTTCGTCGCTCTGTTCCTCTCGCACTCATGGGGCGTCCCGCAGAGGTGCGACAGAGACAGAGCGACCAAACTCCCGAGCGCAGCCTCGGATCCGCCATTCTGGCCTTCTTTATTTCTAGCGCATGTGGGAACGGGGAGCGGTACAGCCCGGAACAAAATGTTGAACGAGGAGCTCCGTGCCCCGCGACTCGCCGCGAACCCCAACCCAACCAGCAGCGCAAGTTCTAAACTGCTGGCGAAATTTCACAGCCTTCCACTGTACTTAATAAGCAGCGCGCGCTTGGAGCGGCCTGCGAGCTCGTGCACACACACGCACACACACACACTCACCACTAGACACACACACGCACGCACCAATTCACGCTCCCTCCCTCTCCACCGTCTCCCTCTCTCTCCTCCGCTCCCCCCTCTCTCTTTCTCTCTCTCCCCCTCTCTCTCTCTCTCTCCCTTTCTCTCTTTCTCTCACATACGTCACATGTTCAAATAAAAGTTAATTGCTTCTTCCTGAACGAGGTCACTCAAGTTTTATCATCCCCGTTCCACCATCCCGGATTCGCTTGCATTGCGGCTGCTGATGCTGCAGCAGTGCTGCGGAAAACTTTGAAATACTCCCCCGTGCGGCGCGAGTTGGAAACCGCCAACGTATGGATACAGTTGTGACGCAAAACCAGCGGGAAACCTTGATTTGTGGCTGCAGCGCGTGGTTCGCCTTCCGCCCTGCGAGTCCCCTCCCAGCCCAAGGCAGTGTCCCCCCCTCTCTCCCCCCAATTTTTCCTCTCCAACCCTAAACCGCGCCGGGGGCACCGGATACCAGATCCCCTGCTCGGGCCGCGCCCTGCCACGCCTCAGAAGTCTCTTCTCCTTCGCCTTCTCCTCCTTCTCCTCCTCTTTCTTCTTCGTCTGGATTTTCTTTCCACCGCCGCCGCGTTTTCGAACAGTGTTGAGCACAGTGTAGCCGTTTGTCCAGGGTGGCGTCGACCAGCTTGATTTTTGGACTTTTTCTGCTGATTGGACGATGTTTGTCGCCATCGTGGACAAACGGCTGGCCGGAACTAGACCAATTTTGGTTTCCAGGCGGGCCGCGACCCCCTCAACCCAAACCTGAAGTCAAAAGTCACGGACACCAAGTAGGTTCGTGGCAGAGCGACTTTGGCCTCGAAAAAAATCACCACTTTCTCATCGGCCTGGACGGCGACCTCGTGGTACGTCCTCGTGTCGCTGTACTGGGCGTGGAACAACACGGGCTTTGGCGTTGTGCCTTGAGGCCCGGAGGCCTCATGGCGGTCATCCGTGCGGTGGCCCCGGAAGGACGTCATCAGGGACCTCACGGCGTGGCCGACGACGTTACCCAAATTCGGGGCATGATTTTTTGACTGCCCAAAATTGAGTCACCGCTGGCTCGTCACCCAAAGCAGCGTCCGATGGTGGTGACTCTTTCATTCTCAGTGAAGCTGGCCGGCAGGCCGATACACCCTAAAACGCCGTTACCAACCAAGATAACATACGCAACGAAAGCATTCAGCTACTTCAAGTAAGTTCACTTATTGTAATAAGTATACTTTGTGGAGAAACTACATTTTTTTTGGTGTTTGAAAGGAACAGAATTCGCTTTTGTCTGTCTACTCCCGCACCGCTCCGGGACGCCCCACGAGTGCGAGAGAGACAAGAGGGACGCCGTGACGCCGCCATCGGAATGCAACGGAGGGGGCTTCCCAGCGCAATCCTTCTTTTATGGCGCTTTCCCGCCAATTCGAGGCCTGCCACTGTTGTCTGCGTCCGTCTGGATGCGGCGGGGGTAATAAGTGCGAGAGAGACGACTGCCATATCGGCGCGCTGGGGGGCTGGGCTGGAAGGGCCCTGCAAAGCTGCCCTGAATAAAACATTGCACAGCCCTAGCCCCCCCCCCCCCGCCCCCTTTCGGCCCGCCACGCCCACTATCTGGCCCTCACGCACACGTATGCTAATTAGTGTCACTGGCGTGCTGTAAACGCCCCGGATTTTTGCTGTTTCGTTCCAGCAACGCTTTGCGGAGTCGGAGGAGTTAGGTCAGATTAGGTTAGATGAGGTTGGGTTCGGTTGGGTTGGGTTAGGTTGGTGGCGGGACGGGGAATCCGAGATGACGCACAGTGGGCCAAAGTCCAGTGGTGGCGGTCAAAATCCCAGACGCGTTTTGAGCTCCTGAGTCACTATATGGGCCTCGAACCGAACGTGTGACCCCATCAATGGAGTCCTCTTTCTGAGAGCAATCCATTGGCGGGGTCACACGTTCGGTTGGAGTCCCATTTTAGTGACTCTGGAGCTCAAAACGCGTCTGGAATTTTTGCCGCCTCCACCGGTTTTCTGGCCCACTGTGCGAAGTGGCGACGCGCAGCCGCCTTCTTTCTAACGGGGATTTACAGATTTCCCAACATGAAAAAGATAAACAACCACCGCCAGAGACTAAGAGAAAGCCCCCCAAACGAAAGAACCCGAAAAAAATAAAAATAAACAAGAACGACAATGCCGCAGCACACACTTTAAAAATTCTGGTCACTGGGAAAATATAATGGACTTTTATCTGCTTACATCAATTTTAAATAATGACTTTGTTGCTTACTAATTGATGCTATTTTCATCAAAGCATAGCATATGGGCCTCTGGAAAGTCATTAGCTACGTAGTTGATGACGTTCTTGCAATTCTTTTTCATTGTGCAATCAGAGATCTGACCAAAGAAATGATTAAAACTGAACCCAAGTCAACGAAACAACGAACCGAGCGAAAGCAGTGAAATGCGAGAACCTTACCTTGAGCTCGTCGGCCTCGATGTAGCCGCTGCCGTCCGTGTCGTACTCGCGCCAGATCTGCGGCAGAACGAAATGGTTTTAGCGCTGGGCGGACAGGTCTGCTGAGGTTCCGCACAGTGGGCCAGAGGACCGGCGCAGGCGGCCAAAAACTCTAGAAGCGTTTTGAGCTCCAGAGTTGCCAAATGGGACTAGAACCGAACGCGTGACCGCATCAATGGACTCCTCGTTCGGAGCAATCCATTGGAGGGGTCACTCGTTATGTTTGAGTCCCATTTCGCGACTATGGAGCTCAAATCCCGTCCGGGATTATTTTCATCGTGTCCACCTTCTTCTGGCCCACTGCGGCGGCAGCTGCGGGAAGTTTATCGACATGGTCGCGGACGGTCCTAAACTTGGACTGGCATGCCATGGCAGCGTGGCGGTCTGGAGGCGGGGGCCTTATTGGGTTAGGCTTGCAAACTCACGGCAAGAAAAACGAAAGCGAACTGGGTGTTGTTTGGACCGTCCTGTTGGCACGCACGGGGCTGTTGACAGTGGCGTAGAACCACCTGCGGTTTCCCCCGCCTGTTTTCGTACCCAATTTTTTTTTCGTCGATTTTGTTTTGCTCGCTCTCTGACGACAGCGGGGACCCTCATTGGTGTCCGGTAAACTTGGAACAACGTCGCTGCGCCGAAAAAGCAAGAGGATGCCTCTATTATTCGGGACTGTCATCTTTCGGATCAGGAGAGAGAGAGAGAGAGAGAGAGAGAGAGAGAGAGAGAGAGAGAGAGGAGAGAGAGAAGAGGAGAGAGAGAGAGGAGAGAGAGAGAGAGAGAGAAACAGAGGAGAGAGAGAGAGAGAGAGAGAGAGAGAGAGAGAGAGAGAGAGAGAGAGAGAGAGAGAGGGAGAGAGAGAGAGAGAGGAGGGGAAGGGTATAAAATATATACGGGATGGCACAATGTCCTTTATGGTCTCTGCCAGGAAACCTCTCACCTCGCTGCCCGCGGTCGTTAAGGTGGCAGGGAGGCAGAGAGAGGGAGGCAAAGATGCGGCAAAACAGGACGAAAGACGGAGAAAGCGCATGCCGTCATCTTTTAATCAAATTAAAATAACGTTTCAATGAAAAGCTTTGCGTTGTTTGACCCAATTTTTCAAGCGCTCTAAGACGGGGCTGTCTGTTCGGGGGCCAATTTCCTCAGCTTAGCGTCGAGAAGGACAGTGAGATAGAGAGGAGGAGCAAGGGAGAAAAGAAGGAGGAGAAGAGATGATTGGGTGCGCTGCTTTCACCTGTTGGTCTTTACTCGCTCTTTTGAAGGATGTAAAAGAGGGCAACGCGGGGGAACGCCACGAACGGGGTGGAGGAGCTGGAGGAGGAAAAGGGGGGGGGTCGGACAGAACGGCACGTCGCCGTGGAGGAAGGCAAGCCAGCAGGGGGTTGAGGGGAAAGCGCTTCCCGCAGCGAAAAATTACGATGGATCATTTTCGGCTCGCCTGCACCGCCGTGGAAGGGAGGACGGCATGTGGAGAATGTGAGCCTGCCTCCCTTCCCCTCCCCCAACCCCTTCTCTCTCCCCGCTTTCCTTCATGGCCCGAGTCGAAGGTGGGTGAATACTGCAGGGGGCCCTCTTGGGTGATAAAGTTTAGGTGCTTTGCGAATAAAGGGCAGAGGGACAAGGCTTTCTCCGGCAGACGCCTGCTTCTCTCTCTCTCTCTCTCTCTCATTAAGAGCCGTGTGCCGGTTGTCTCCACCGCGAAAAGACTGGTGCCCGCCTCGCCAGTTTAGCCTCGCCAGTTTAGGTCCGCCAACAGGCTCGCCAACAGGCTTCCCGACTGCACAACCCATTCCATCCCGAGCTACAGCAAGGCTACCAGGCCAGCGGATTATCTCAGACTGCACGCGCAAAAGAGGAGCGTTCCCGAGTAACCTGAGTTCCACTGCTCCGGATTCTGTCGACGAACAAAGAAAAATGGATACTTAATTTCTATTTCCTCGCTTTAAACTGTCTCTCAGTCGAGTGACGCTGTACTCAAACCAGACAGGACATTGTGATCGAACTTGGATCAAGAATTTGACCCTTGAAGGAATCTTAAATCTTAAACAGTTAAGAACACCCTGCATGGAACTAAAATTGCGGCGCAGCTAACATTTTTAATGACCAAACTTTGGCACTGTGGCGAAACTCTTTTTATAAACTGTGAGTACGGGCCGACGGCAACAGTGCCCCACGCGGTAGAGCCGCGACTCTGTTGCACACAGCAACTCACTCACTCGCTCCTCACTCACTCACTCACTCACTCACTCACTCACTCACTCACTCACTCACTCACTCACTCACTCACTCACTCACTCACTCACTCACGCACTCACTCACTCACTCACTCACTCACTCACTCACTCACTCACTCACTCACTCACTCACTCACTCACTCACTCACTCACTCACTCACTCACTCACTCACTCACTCACTCACTCACTCCCCTCACTCACTCACTCACTCACTCACTCACTCACTCACTCACTCACTCACTCACTCACTCACTCACTCACTCACTCACTCACTCACGCACTCACTCACGCACTCACCTTCATGAACTCGACGCTGGAGTCAAGGGGATTGTCGAAGCGGAACAGCAGCAGGAAGTTCTCCTCCATGGGCAGCAGCTGGGCCAGCTGAAACACAAACGAGTGTGGTCAGGGCGACGCTCGTGTGTCGTTGCGGGTTTGCGGTGGCCGCGCGGTCCGGGGCGCGTGCCTCGGGAGCGAGGGCCCGGGTTCGATCCCCACCGCCCGCTGAAGTTTTGGCTTCGCTCGCCGAATAGCGTCGGCAGTCCTTGATTGCATCCGCGAGCTCGAAATGCGAAATCCGTCCGTCCATCGGCAGCCCCACCCGCATATAATCCACGCCGGGGAATTCCCTGTCCGTCTGCCAGGGAGATTGATTGCTTCCATGTGTGTGTGTGTGTGTGTGTGTTTATGTTTGTGTGTGTGTGTGTGTGTGTGTGTGAGATTTGTTCAGGGTCGCACAGCTAATGAAGGAGCAAAGGCTCTGAGAGAGAGAGAGAGAGAGAGAGAGAGAGAGAGAGAGAGAAGAGAGAGAGAGAGAGAGAGAGGGAGTATCTGTATGTCTGCGCGTGGTGTGTCTGTCTGTCTGTCTGTCTGTCTGTCTGTCTGTCTGTGTGCAGACAGTGACTCGAAGAGGTCCGTCCGAATCACGCGCTGCCTGCGCTGCCGTCTCACAAACATTTCGCGCCAAGGGCTGCCAATACCTTCGGAGGCGGCCCTTCTGCGATTGAGCAAGGTCGTCTGAAGGACACGCGCGCCGCGCCTCACCGGCGGGGGAAAACACCGCCAGGGATGCGGGCAGCGGCTGGAAAAGGGGGGGGGGAGGAATCTGCATTTCCAACCGGGGGAAGTTTGGGGCAGAAAGTTTGCCGCCGTCATGCATTCGCGCCGTGCCTGGCCACGCCTGGCCGGACGTCTGGCGATGAGGCGACGACTCACAGTGGGCCAGAAGACCGGCGCAGTCGCTAATCAGGACTCGAACCGAACGTGTGACCCCACCACACCAATGGATTCCTCGTTCGGAGAGCAATCCATTGGTGGGGTCACACGTCCAGTTCGAGTCCTGTTTAGCGACTCTGGCGCTCAAAACGCGTCCGGGATTTCGACCGCCTCCACCGGTCATCCGCCCCACTGTGCGACTGGGTGTAGTATTCAGGGCAGCAGCACGGCCAGACGAAAACGCCCAAAAGAGAGGCATTGTTTTCCAGGCCACAGGCGCGTAGGGCCAGTTTGGAGTAATTATGGGACACGAGGCAAGGCAAAAATGGGACAGCCTTAGTTTTATCAGAGCTGCCTGCCGAGCCACAACGCCCTCGAAGCCCTCGACACTCGGCGGCCGTCGATACGTTGCGGTTTGTCTGAGTAGGCGCGGCAGCCCCGAAACCGAGAAACGGAGAAACGCGCCCCAAAGTTTTTGACTTTGCATAAAGTCGAGGGTACACTTTGTGGATTTCGGGTTCGGCCTGAACTAACTCGACGCCGCAGCGCACCGAAGGCGAGAGAGAGAGAGAGAGAGAGAGAGAGAGAGAGAGAGAGAGGAGAGAGAAAGAGAGAGAGAGAGAGAGAAGGAGAGGGAGAGAGAGAGGGAGAGAGGGAGATGAGAGGGGCCGACAGGACGCCTCAGGGCAACGCCAGGTAACGCAGCGCCCGTCAGCCAGAGCGATTTCGAGGTGGTTTCGTCGCTCTGTCTCTCTCGCACTCGTGGGGAGGGCCGGGGAGGGCCGTGCGGGTGCGAGAGAGACGGAGCGACGAAGCACAGTTTTCGGAAGTGGCCTCCAGGCTGTCGCTCGGCCGTCTCTCAGGGGCTCAGGGGCGCACGCCCAGAAACCACCTGGCCCCATTACGGGCAAGGTGAAGGTCGGTCTGTGTGTGTGTGTGCGCGCACGCGCGTATTAAAATACACGTTCCGTGCTTACGAACGGTCCCTCAAAAGGTCGGGGCGCGGCGCGGCAAGGGGCGCCACAAGCCCCTCCCCTCCCCCAACTTTTATCAGCAGAGTAGTATAAAGTTAAACGCGTGGCGCACAAAATCTACAATCACGCAATGCCCAAGCCAGCGAGGGTACAACATATTCCTCACGGCGCCTTTCAGAAACAGCTTTCAGGGTTCGGGAATTTTCTCCCTGCTTCTCACACTGTACCATAGGCCTCCTGAGAACCAGGTACCGTTTTTACCGGGTGGCTTTGCAGTGCAGGAGGGACAAACATTACTTCTAGACTGAGTAAAACGCAAAACAAACAAGTACCTTTTCCCTACCGAAAGAACGCCCTGAAAATTGAAATGTGTACTAAGTACACACATTACTCAGTACACGCGTGGGTTTTTAGTGCGGCCTATTTAACAGTGTAGAAAACGAGGCAAGGTTCTCGAGCCCCCGCAGTTAGCGTTGTTGGGCTCTGGGTAAAGGGCTCAGGGCTCGAGCCGCTGTGCTCGCGGTGACGGCGCTGGGAATGCCCTTCTTCCCGGCGCCACGGCCGCACGGCCACACGGCCACAAGGGTCACGCCCTCGGGTCGCGCCGGGGGGCTGCCGAGAAAATGCATCCATTTTGTCTGGAAAGGTTCGCCGAGGGCGCCAAGAAAGGGCCAGGCCCTCGGCTGGGCCCTTCCACGAAAACGGCGCCATGCACCCCCACCCGCCCAGTGTCGCTGGGCCCTGCCCTTGCCCTGCCCTGGCCCTGCCCTGGCCCGGCAATAGGCGTCAGGGGAAAAAATGACTCCGCCGATAGATACGCCGTGCAAAAGGGAGGGCAGCATGCGTTACACTGCACAGTGGGCCAAGACCGGCGCAGGCGGTCAAACTTCCGGGCACGTTTTGAGCTCCAGTCGCTAAATGGGACTCGAACCCAACGTGTGACCCCACCAATGGATTGCTGTCTGCGTGAGGAATCCTTTGGTGGGGTGGTGGGGTCACACGTTCGTTTCGAGTCCTGTAGAGCTCACACTGCGTGTCTAAAGTTTTGGCCGCTTGATCCGCTCTTCTGGCCCATTGTGCACTGTGACAAGGTGGTCAGACGGACTTCAATAATTCCGTTGGTTATCTTGACATTAAATTAAAAGAATTAAAAGCCGATGTAAAAAGTCCAACTTGCCACGCAGTGGATTCTCGCGCTAAACCATTTTTCCCTATGTAAAAAAAAATCCTCTGTAAAAAATGTTGGATCAGACGAAGGAAGACGAAAAAAAAAAGGCTGCAGTCCTTCGGCTGTCCCTGCAAGGTGGCTCGCTCGATCAATCAGGGTCCTTTCACCCCCCCCCCCTCCCCTTCCGGCTGGGTCGTTCGTCGCCGTGTCAACAAGTTGTCTAGGGGTCTTCAACGACTGGATGGCGAGCGCTCCCGTCCCTCCCCGTCCCCTTTGAGTAGCGACCTCTCCTTTGACTTCCGGTTGCAGCCTCCGGCCCCCCGGCCTCGGCTCCGGTGCCATGGCCTCACAGTGCCTCAGACTGATTCCGAGAGTCTCGCTCTGTCTCTCTCGCACTCCTGGGGCGTCCCAGGTAGGTGGCGAGAGAGACAGAGCGACAAGACGACGCATGGAATCAGTCTGCAGTGCGTCACGCCCGCTCCGGAAACGGAACGTCAGTTCGCTTCCCTCTGGGCTCATCCACGCTGCTACTGCTGCTGCAGCTACTGCAGCTACTGCAGCTACTGCAGCTACTGCGGTTACTGCTGCAGCTCTGCTGCTACACACCGTCGAATGGGACTGCAGAATTAACCGGAGGCTGAGAAAATTATTCGGCACTTCCTCCAGCGAGACGTGTGTGTGTGTGTGGTGAGAGAGAGAGAGAGAGGAGAGAGAGGAGAGAGAGAGAGAGAGAGAGAGAGAGAGAGAGAGAGAAAGAGAGAAAGAGAGAGACCCTGGAGATCAAAACGCGTCTAGAGTTTTGGCCGCCTCCACCGCCCACTGTGCAGTGATGACGCGCGCGCCGCACACTGCAAAACAGCGACGCTGGACGCCCAGGGGACGCAGAGAGTGGACCCACTTGCAAAAGAATGCCTGCCTCCCGCCACCAGCCCGCCCCGCCTCGGCCACGCTGCACAGTGGGCCAGAAGACCGGTGGAGGCGGTCTAAGCTCTAGACGCGTTTTGAGCTCCAGAGTCACTGAACAGGACTCGAACCGAACTTGTGACCCCACCAATGGATTCCTCGTTCGGAGAGCAATCCATTGGTGGGGTTTCACGTTCGGTTCGAGTCCTGTTCAGCGACTCTGGAGCTCAAAACGCGTTCGGGATTTTGACCGCCTCCGCCGGACTTCTGGCCCACTGTGCGGCGGCCACGGCGGCCACGGCGCTGGAGAAGTTGAACGGGGTCGTTCCTGAACGAACGGCCGCAGTTTTCAGGCTGCGGTCGCCTGTTGCCACGGCCGCCTCACCCCGACCGTTTCGGTCCGTCGCTCGATCTCTCTCGCACTCATGGGGCGTTCCGCGGGGTGCGAGAGAGACAGCGCGACTGCTGCAGTGCGCCGCGGTGGCGGTGCAACAAGCCAACAAACTGCGAGAGAATCGCCAAGAATTTGACCTCGCGTCGCGCCAGCCCCGCCGCCAGCCTTGGCGCCAGCCAGCCCGCGCCAAGTTATACACTTTAATTGAATTTTCGCGCGCTGGAGTTACAATTCCTTCCCGCGGGGCTGGGCTCTAGGGGAGGGGAGGGGGACGAGGAGGGGGCAGGGGAGAGTTGCTCGTCGCGTTTGCAATTCTGCATCCGGTGGTGCATGGAGTAGGGCAGGCCAACTGTGCTGTGCTGGGCCACGCCACGCCGCGCCACGCCACGCCGCGCCACGCCAGGGCACAAGTTTGAAATGACCGGAAGTGGAGTTGGGTTGGGAACACTGGCTGGGAATGGCTCGGCTAGCGCTCCGCCGCTTCGCAGCGCGTCGGCATTGCCGGTGAGTTTTGGAACAGGACCAGGGCGGCCAGGTGCGCGCGCCACACTGTCGAAAAGAGTCCACTTTTATTTTTTGGCGTGAATGTATTCGCTGCTGCTCCCGTCCCCTATTAAGAGGGCCGAACTGGAGCAGAAAAGCTTCGCGGGGTTCAAATCTAAGTTCCATCTCGCGTGCCATCGCGACGGTGTGACGCCGTCGCAGCTAGAAAGGGAACAGAATAAGATGTACATGATCGAAGTGTATCTTGCCTGCAATTACCTCGAAGGCATGTTAATGAAGATTTTGTTTGAGACCAAGGATTTTGTTCATAAATTTAAAAAAAAAAATCAAACTTGTGTAGAAAATTTCCGAATTGCATAATAGACACCATTCCAGAAAAAAAAATGCAACCGGGGGAAACTACAAGGCTACTTCGTGCCTAGATAAAAATGAAGAAACCTTTTTTTCCCCCTGGGTGGTATGATGAATTCCCGGCCATTTTCATTGCGGACCAACTACGATTGTTCGCCACACCGTCCCGTGACCCTACGGTGTAGGGCCGCCACCCTGTGCCGGGCGGCGGGGCGGCTGGGCCCGTGCCAAACACCACAAACCACACTGCGAACGGCACACCTAGTGGTCGGCCGGGCCTCGGCCCGCTGCGGCAGGCGGGCAGGCCCAGGCCTGGCCGTGTTGAGCCCCGCGTGGGGCTTGAAGGGCCGCCTGGCTCGTCCCAGGACCGTCTGCCAAGAAGGGTCCAGCCCGGAGCCCGGTCCTGCAGACTGATTCCGAGAGTCGTTTCCGACGCCCTGTCCCTCTCGCACTCACGGCGCGTCGCGTAAAGGTGTGAGAGAGACAGCAACAAGACCGACTCTGCTGGCCTGCGCCCTACAGTGCCGTGCCGGCCGCGGCGGTCAAGGGCTAGGCCCAGGGCTAGGCCAGCGGCTAGGACGGAGCCCCAAAGCAGGGCTGGATTTATCCATCCCAGTGAGGCTCTCCCTGACTCGCCCTCCAGCTCCAGGCCAGGCCCAGGCCGCCCCACAGTGGGCCAGAAGACAGGGGGAGGTGTCAAAATCCCGGACGAGTTTTGAGCTCCAGAGTCGCTCAATGGGACTCGAACCGAACGTGTGACCCCATCAATGGATTGCTCTCCGAACGAGGAATCCATTGGTGGGGTCACACGATCGGTTCGAGTTCTGTTTAGCGACTCTGGAGCTCAAAAGGCGTCTAGAGCTTTGGCTGCTGGAGCCTGTCTTCTGGCCCACTGTGCGCCCTTCCGCGAGGACCGAGGGCCGGCTCTCCTGGATTAACCTCAAGACCAGCATCCGGCACCACGGGCTGGGCACAGCAGACTGATTCCGAGAGTCGCTTTCGTCGCTCTGTCCCTCTCGCACTCATGGGGCGTCCCGTAGGTGCGAGAGGCCAGAGCGACGAAAACGACTCTCAGTCTGCTGGGCACAGGGCTGGGCGCAGGCACTGCCTCCCAGCGGTACCAAAACCTCGTTAGGCTTCGTCATGTCCCTCCCGGCAGAGGCCACGTCCCTGGTCGTCGTAGCGCCGCGTGGCGCAGAACACGCCGAGAGCCCCTCTCCTGTTGGCCTGGAGTCTGGGGACGGCGTCTCAGAAAGTCTCTCTAACAGTCGTCGCTCAAGAATGTCTCTCGCAATGAATACACGTCCTGCGGCGCGGTGGGGCGGCATGCCGATTTCAAGAGCGGTTTCGTTTCGTCGCTTTGCATCTCGGTCCCGCACGGGACGCCCCATGAGTGCGACAGAGACAGCGCAACCTCGTTCCCGACCAGCCCCCAACATCGGGTCGCCTAGCCTCGGGCAGGGCAGCCGTGGCCGTCCAAATAGCAATAAGGGGACGCCAAGCTGCACATCGGCAGAACGCGACGGCGTTACCGCCCTGCCCCGCCCCGCCCACCCCAGCCCGCCTCGACCCACCCCGCCCCAACCCGCACCGCGCCGCCCCCGCCCCCGCTGAGTGGTTCTTATTTTGTCCGCCGTCTGCGGTTCCCCGTCGGTTCGCGGGTTCGCCTCCCGCCGGCTGCAATCAGCGGCGCCGGGCAAATATTTTTTTCGGTCGCGTTCTCGCTCGCCATTCCGCGCAGATGCCGCCGTTCGAGGCCTAATTAAGTCCAAGCACTTTCGGGACGCGTCCGCCGGAAACTCGCTCCGTCTGTCTCGCACCCTCGCGCCGCCTTGGCCCCGGCCCTGGAGTGCGAGGGGGACAGACGCAGCCCGAAAGGGGTCGCGGATCGCGGCTTCCAATCAGACCAGGCAGCAGACTGTCGCTCTGTCTCTCTCGCACGTACAGGGGACGTTGTGAGTGCGAGGGAGACAGAGCGACGAAAACGACTCTCGGAATCAGTCTGCAGCACAGTAAAACGAGGTTTGTCGCGGGACTGGCTAGGCCCGCCCGTTTTTTGCCCAATGAATAAAACAAGCGACGGACGAACGCTTTGAATCCGCACTCGGACGGCATGATTAAATTCCGCTTGACCTTGAGCGGGAAATTACAATAATACGGCCATCGCCGTGCGCCTATGCCGCCTTGCTTATCCCACTTTGAGAGCAGCGCACAGTGGGCTAGAAGACTGGTGGAGGCGGCCAAAACTCGAGACGCGTTTTGAGCTCCAGAGTCGATAAATATAGGACCCGAACCGAACGTGTGGCCCCGTTAATGGATTCCACGTTCAAGAGCAATCGATTGGTGGGGTTACACGCTCGGTTTTAGTCCTGTTTAGCAACTCTGGTGCAGAAAACGCGTCTAGAGTTTTGGCCGCTGTCGCCGGTCTTCTGGCCCACTGTGGCGCGCCGAAATGAAGAAAGGCATTACAATAATTGGAAAGCTTACCTCGCGAATGTCTATCTTGCCGTCCTGGTTGTCGTCGTAGGCCTCCATGAAGCACTGCTTGAGCTCCAACAGCATGGCGTCAGACATGGCCTGGAAACAGACGAAAAACGAATAAAAACCATTAAACTCGGCCGCTGGTGGTGCAGAGCTGCCGAAACTACCGGAGATAGGGCATGCTCCAGTGACGTTTCCAAGAGGAATTCCAGACGGGAGTGAGAGAGAGAGAGAGAGAGACAGAGAGAGAGCGGGGCGGAGGAGAGAGTGGGGGGGATGAGAGCTGCACTAGACCTTGAACGCGGAGAGAGAGAGAGAGAGAGAGAGAGAGAGAGAGAGAGAGAGAGAGAGAGAGAGAGAGAGAGAGAGAGAGGAGAGAGAGAGAGAGAAGAGAACGAGAAAGCGCAGCGACGGCAGCGAGAGCCTCTGTATCGTCCTTGTGGAAAGCAGGGTTTGGGGGAGGGGGTTGCAACGGTTAAAGCGGTCCTCTATGGGGACGACTCGGCTGAGGAGAGGAAACAACTTCCAGCTTCAGTCTGTTCGTACACGCAGCGAAGCCCCGCCGAAGATTATTCATGAACTATATACGGACGTGTGTGCCGACAGATTCGGGAAAGGATTTCGATTGGATATTCGACATTGACGGACTGGAACGAATGTATGGATTGAATGCGTTGGATAATTCGACTGGATTCCCACGAGTCTCACTGTATGAATATTTCTGATGAATTCCCCTCTCCCCCCCTCCCCTCCCCTCCCCGTGGGCGCTGAACCGTCGCGCCGCCTTGTGCGAGGCTAGGGTTCGCGCTATGCGCGTTCCGCACGTCGAGCGTGAAATCGCGGCAACGTCGCAGCAGCGTCGCGGAGAGAGAGAGAGAGAGAGAGAGAGAGAGAGAGAGAGAGAGAGAGAGAGGAGAGAGGCGAAAATGACGCTGAGGAAATACGGAACGACTGCATTATTTCGTGCCATTCGGGAACGTCTCTCTCTCTCTCTCTCTCTCTCTCTCTCTCTCTCTCTCTCTCTCTCTCTCTCTCCCTCTCTCTGAGTCGTGTGTGTGCACTCTGTCCGTCCGTCCGTCTGTGTGTTGTCTGCCGGCCCGTCCCCGGCCGGCCCTCCGTTCGATAGCTCGATACACCGGGGCGGTACATCGTATCGGCGGCCATCGAGATGCGGGATGCGGGGAATGGTGCGGAAGGTAAAGGGTCCCGAACGCTCATGCTGCGACGGGAAATCACGTTTACGAGCCGTGGGGCACGAGAGCGGGCCGCGGGGTGGAGGGAGGGGAGGGAAGGGGCGCGCGGAGTGGTAGGGAAGGGGGGAGGGGACGGGAAGGGATGGGAGAGAGAGGAGAGGGAGGGGAGGGGGATTCCCCGCCGCTGGTTGCATTGCCCGGGGCGAGGGGGACAGAAATGGCCGATTTTCCCTCCCGCACGCTTCACGTCTTTCCCAGCGTCCCTCGGCCACAGGCACGGCACGGCACGGCACGGCACGGCAGTGGACAGCGCTGCCAATCGCAGCCTCATAAGGGAACTTTCTCCAGGATGGGACGAGAGGCAGGGAAAATAACGGAAACTATTTCGTGTCCTGCCCGCCGCTCTTGCCCTGCACTGATGTAAAAACTAGTAACTTTGACTCTAACCATTTGTTTTAGTTGTTTGGACTCTGTATCTTACAGGGTAATCCAAAGGTTACTCAAACACTGCACGCTGAAAACCGTACGAAGTACATTGAGCATATGTAAGGTAAAAGCTATTTGTTGTCTTTTTTTAATATGCAGAATTGGTATGTGGATTACGAAGTAGTATTTCCTTTAGAAGCTTGTGTATGCTCAAAATACTTTGTTGAAACAAGCGTACTTGTGTTTGTAAAGCCCAAAATACGCTAAAATAGTCTGTAAGATTTTTAGAAAGTTCAATCAAGATTTTATTCGACTTTTTTTTCTCTTTTGACGGTGTTGCCGCCTGCCGCTGACGTGCTGAAAGTCGCGGCGCGGCGCAGGGATTGGACTCGAGGATTCCAGATTACGCAGTCGGAATCTTCCTCGACTCATCAGAGTTCAGAGGATTGGGGATCGGGGCTTAATCATCCGCCGGTCGGGCATTAGGCTAATCAGTGGTCCTCCTGAGCCGAGGCCTAAGCCAAGGCCCCGGCCCACAAGGCCAGAAGACCGGTGAAGGGGGACCAAGAATCTAGACGCGTTTTGGGCTCCACAGTCGCTATACGACTCGAACCGAACGTGTGACCCCACCAATGGACCCCTCGTTCGGAGAGCAATCCATTGGAGGGGTCACACGTTCGGTTCGACTCCTGCTAAGCGACTCTGCAGCTCAAGACGCGTCCAGATTTTTGGTCGCTACCATTCTTGACCAACGCACCGCCACACCGTCAATCCTCATCGCATGAATACACAGCGCAGTGCCACCAGATCTGCGCGCAATCCAGCGGGTGATGAATCGGCGTCGCCCCGCCCCGCCCCGCCCCGCCCGGCGATGCGCCAAAGCGAGCGGGACGCCATGCTGTGTTTTGTGGGCGCGCCGTCGTGTGCAGAAGGGCCGCGCGCGGCGGGGCGTAGCGAGGCGGGGCGGGGTGGGGCAGGGCAGGGCGGGGCGGGGTGGGGCGGGGCGACCCTGGCCCTGCCCTGCGTGCGGTGTGACTTCCAGCTGGTCGTAAATCAACTAGTGTCTATCGGCCGCTCTGGCTCTCGACTCTGCCAGCCGCTATCTCTCTCTCCCTCTATCTTGCCCGCAGTCCGCACCCCCACCACTGTCTTCGTCGCGCCCTCTCGCGCTGCGGCATTTCCGGGCGTGTGTCTCGTCGCTGTGCAATCCCTGATTTTTGGCCCAGCGCTCTCTGTGTTTTGTTTTCAAATCGACTGGGCGACCGCTTCAAATCAAAACTGCACTCGGGGCGGCGCGAGCGAGGGGCACATCCCTCTCATCGTTTGGCTGCGGCGTGGCTCCCCTAACGAGGCATCCGCTCCTCGCTGCTCAAAGGGCCAGCACACTGAGAGTCGTTTTCGTCGCACCGACACGGGACGCCCCAATGAGTGCGAGAGAGACGCCGCGACGGGGCAGACTCTCGGAATCAGGCTGTTGCAGGGGCGGGACCAGGGTGTGGCGGGAGCCCCTGTGGTCGCGAGGGTAGGCCGTTCCGTCGGACGCGCCTGTCGCGCTTGTGGCCTACCCTCGCCACCACAGGGGCTCTGTCCCCCAGCTGGAAACGGACCCACGCTGTGCACGCAGGCTGGCGGTCACTGTCTGTCTGTCTGTCTGTCTGTCTGTCTGTCTGTCTGCTGTCTGTCTGTCTGTCTGTCTGCCTGTCTGTCTGTCTGTCTGTCTGTCTGTCTGTCTGTCTGTCTGCCTGTCTGTCTGTCTGTCTGTCTGTCTGTCTGTCTGTCTGTCTGTCTGTCTGTCTGTCTGTCTGTCTGTCTGTCTGTCTGTCTGTCTGTCTGTCTGTCTGCCTGTCTGTCTGTCTGCCTGTCTGTCTGTCTGTCAGCCAATCGGCCGCACCGGTGCCACACAACGCCATTCCGTGCCTGAGGCGCCGCAAAACCGTTTCCTCTCGTCGGCTTGCTTGCGTTGCTAGCCGTGCCAGCCGCCGCGCAGCCAGGCTGCTGGGGTGGGCCGGCCCCTTTTTGCGCACCGCCGTTGCAGTGCCGTGGCGCCCCGCCGCGTAATCACGGGGCAGCGTCAAGCAGCGCGCTGTCTCTGTCGCACTCGCGGTGGGGACGCACAGTGGACCAGAGGACCGGTGGAGGCTGCCAAAACTCTAGACGCGTTTTGAGCTCCAGAGTCGCTAAATGGGACTCGAACCGAACGTGTGACCTCACCAATGGATTGCTCTCCGAACGAGGAATCCATTGGTGGGGTCACACGTTCGGTTCGAGTCCCATTCAGCGACTCTGGAGCTCAAAACGCGTCCGGGACTTTGACCGCCTGCACCGGCCTTCGGGCCCACCGTGTGTCCTCTCTGTCTGGCCGCGACGTCTGTGTCGTCTCCGTCCCTCTCGCAGTGGAGACCGAGGGCGACCGAGAAGGAAGGCGGCCGTGTCGTTTTCGAAAGCAGCCACAACGCGTTGTCAGAGGCGCTCACGATACGGCAAAAAAAAACAACAAAAACACATCGAGCGAGCCACCGCGCTTTGCCCGCTTCGTCCGATATCCCCGACCAGACAGAGTGAGAGAGAAGAGCGGCGATGTTTCAAGTGGTTTGAAGTGGGACGAGATAGAGAGAGAGGGCCGACGGGGCTCCCGTCAAAGAGGCGCAGTGGTGGAGAAAAAAATGATCCGTGAGACGAAGAAGAAGAAGTAGCCGCTGAGGCCAACCGATATTATTTTTATTTCTTGCGAGGCTGCTGCGTCACTTTTTCTGCCAAAGTCCATGACGCGATCTGTCACTCGCTGTTTGCTCGCTCTGGCAGGGCCGATCCCGAAAAGCGCGCTGTGTCTCTCGCACCCGCGGGTCGTCCCGGTTGGGGTGCGAGAGAGACGGCAGAGCAGAGGAGCGCTGCGGTTGTGCCGCCTTTGCCGCCTTTGCGGCCGTATTGTCGGCATTATGCATGCGTGGGCCGTTGCGAGTCTGACTCCGACGGGCCGGGCGGGGCGGGCACTGCCCGGGCACTCCGCTGTCCGAAACTTTCCACGCGTCGACTGCCCGACCGACGGCCCCACTGCCAGACCGCTAGGCCACCAGAATGGCCAGACTGCCCGCCGAACTTGTTGAACTTGCCTCGCCGCACAGTGGGCCAGAAGACCGGGTGTAGGCGGTCAAAATTCCGGACGCGTTTTGGACTCCAGAGTAGCTGAACGGGACTCGAACCGAACGTTGGACCCCACCAATAGATAGCTCTCCGAACGAGGAATCCATTGATCGGGTCACACGATCGGTTCCAGTCCTGTTCAGCAAACCTGGAGCTCAAAACGCGTCTAGAGTTTTGTCCACCGCACTGGCCTACTGTGCGGCACCTCGCCAAACAGAGCGGCGTGTCATCTGCGGGTTCCCGCTTCACGTGCACTGTAGGGTACTGTTCTGGAGGGGTGACCCACTGTCAAATTTTGTGTGCAATGATTGAGAGAGATTGTGAGAGAGACAGAGCGACGGAAACGACTCTCGGAACCAGTCCGCTGTGATTGGTGACTTGTTCGCGAGGGCTGGCAGCGTTAATGGAACCCCTAACTTTTGCCCCGGTGACGCTGCATCCAGGTGTTCCCGCATTCAAAGCCCACTTGGATTTCCAGCCTCCCACCGCGCAGGCCGGCTCGCGCTCTGTCTCTCTCGCACTCGCGGTGCGTCATCGACGGGTGCGAGAGAGGCAGAGCGACGGAGTACACCGTTCGGATTCACACTGCCGCTGGGATAGTCCCCGAAGGGCCCGCCAGCCCCCACGTGGCCCGGCCATAAACTGACAACAATGGGCATGGGGCAGCGGGGCGAACGGGGCGGCATTAGGAGGGGCCTACAGTGAGGTGGACGGGAGGGGCAGTAGGTGTAGGTATGATGGAAGCGCGGGAAGGGGAGACTGGCCATGTCCCGCACAGCACAGCCGACACCAACGGACGGCCCTGCGGGCGGCCTGCTGGCACGACCGCCATGGTCGACTTGCCACACCAAACTGAGCATACCGCTTCAAATGTACACACTCCAAAAAATATCATTCTTGACTTATTTTGGACCGAATTTTGACTCATCTAAGTCACGGTTAATTCTAATTTGAATTAAAAATACGGAAAGACGCCCTTTGAGTTGAGTTCCCGTCGCCTTGGAGTTAGTTTCGTTAACCGCGTGACAGATCCCGGGCCACTCGGTGCCGCCACTTCGGCCTGATCCGCCGAAGCTGACCGCCAAATGCATGAAACATGAGCGTCCGAGGCCAAATGTTGACTCCGAAGAGGGCGATAGGAGGACGCGGATGAAGGAGGGGCGGCTCCTTCGCTCTGTCTCTCTCGCACTCGCGGGGGGTCCCGTTGGGGTGTGAGAGAGACAGGCAACGAAGCAGCCAGAGAGAGACTCACTTCAGGGCTGACGTCGGTGGCGTTGGCGCTGGACACGAACTCCCTGAGGAAGCCATCCAGCTCGGTGCCCTCGATGTAGCCGTTGCCTGCAAACAGAGAGCAGCCGTCAGAAAGGCCTACGCACAGTGGGCCAGAAGACCGGCGGAGGCGGCCAAAACTCTAGACACGTTTTGAGCTCCAGAGTCGCTAAACAAGAGTGGAAACGAACGTGTGACCCCACCAATGGATTGCTCTCCGAACGAGGAATCCGTTGGTGGGGTCACACGTTCGGTTCGAGTTCCAGTTAGCGACTCTGAAGCTGAAAAGGCGTCCGGGATTTTGACCGCCTCCACCGTTCTTCTGGCACACTGTGCTACGCGCGACCTCCTCGCGCAAGTTGCTGACAGAGAACTATTCCGTGCCGCAGGCTGGTTCCAGACGACCGCTCTGTCTCTCTCGCACCCCCACGGGTCACCCCACCCGTGCGACAGAGACTGGGCGACCGTTCGGAACCAGCCTGCAGATAGCGATTCGCAAATTCGGCCCCAACTTGCCAGACTTTCCAACACGCTGGAAGAATCGGCCGGGCGGGAAACAGTTTTCGAACAGCGGCACTAATAGGCCAGCATGCCCCGGCCAGCGCACACAATTTTGTTTTCTGCTCGGGGGAAAACAAAATTCTTTCTTTCATGTTGGCAACGCCGGGGCGGCCTGGGACTGCCGGCAAGTTGGGGCGCAAAAGTTGGCCAAATTGCGCCTCTGAGCTCATCAGCCGCGTCTCGTCGTCTGCTATCGACGTAACAGGTGCGCGGGAGGGAGGCGGGGAGAGAGAGAGAGAGATAGCGAAAAAGAAGAAGCAACTGCAATGATGCCCGCCATCTACGACGACATCGACGATGCCAGGTTTTTTTTTTTTCGCGGATAATGACTGTAGCGCTTCTTGGCACGGTGAAGGAACCACCGTTAAAAAGTGCAAATCAATCGCAACAGCACTTTTTCAAACAGTTCTACCAGCGCAAAGTAGTTGCGATGAATAAGGGGCTCAAGCGGGCGTTGGCAGCGAGCAGCAGACTGATTCAGAGAGTCGTTTTCGTCGCTCTGCCACTCTCGCGCCTACATACGAGACGCTGAAAGAGTGCGAGAGAGACAGAGCGACAGCGGCTCTCTGAATCAGTCTGCAGGCCAGCCCGCGGAGCCTCGCTGCATTCGCCTTCACAGCAGCAGGAGCGGTGGACTGCCGAAAGTCGACGCTCTGTCTCTCTCCATACGGCTCACCCCATGAGTGCGAGAGAGACAAAGGGAGGACTCCCTGAATCCATCTGCAGGTGCAAGCGATTGCGCTGCGCGGCTGCGCGGCTGCGCCCTATAAATAGAGCAGCGGGAGGCCTCGCGGGCAAATGCGCGATGCGCGACCGGATCGCGGCAGTGCTTCGCTGCTTCGCTGCCTCGCTGCCTCCCACTCCGACACGCCCGCCGCACGCACGCTCTGTCTCTCTCGCACTCGCGGCGCGTCCGGAGGGGGTGCGAGAGAGACAGAGCGACAACAAACAAAACGGGTCATCCCCGACTTTCCCCCGGCGCTGGGCCATTTGCGTGCGACGCGGCGCGATATTCAATCGACCCAACAGCCGCCTCGTGCCGAAGGGCTGCTCTGTCTCTCTCGCACCCGCACGGGACGGACCATGAGTGCGAGAGAGACAGAGCGACTTTCGGAACCGGGCGTCGGCACCGGCACCGCGTGCGTAAAAGGAGTGGCAAGGCGTGGCAAGGCGTGGCAAGGCGGGCGCACGCACAGTGGGCCAGAAGACCGGTGGGGGCGGCCAAAACTCTAGACGCGTTTTGAGCTCCAGAGTCGCTAAACAGGACTAGAACCGAACGAGTCCCATTCAGTGACTCTTCTGCTCTAGAACTGTCTCTTACTGCTCTAGGACGACTGCCTAGGCCTACCAAGGACTGCCTAGGCCTGCTCTAGGCCTCCTGACTGACGAGGCCGAAACTCTAACTCGTTCCCCGGGAGGCAGCGCGCAGGCGGGGAGGCGGGACGACAAGGTAATTTGTCAGTGGCGGCGAGTGACGGTTTCCGTGACTCCTGATTGGGCGGCACGCTCGCTGACATGGATACGGCTTGTAACGGGGCCCTCTGTCTCTCTCGCACCCACACGACTGCGAAAGAGACAGAGACGGTCTGCAGCGAGCGAGATGCCACGGCAAACTACTTTGTTATACGAGGGAGTAGTTCGTAAATTACGAAGTATACTCATTTTCTTTGTAAGCTTATGCTCAAAATACTTTGTTATAACCAGCTGCTTTTCATTGGAAGGCCTTAAATAGGTCGTAAGGTTTTCTCAGTGCGCATACTTTAGAACATGGGAAACTAGGCATCCCAGGTCGGCAGTGTAGGCAACCCACTCGAGCAGCAAACCGAACAAACGTAACGCAGGGCTTCGCGTACGAAACGTCCTAAAAGGGTCGTTAAAGCATCATCTTTCTCTGCGTGTTGTTTGGAACTTTGACAGCAGCGGCATTGGGGTGCCATGCCCGCTCGCAGTGGGTCACCGCGTGCATCCCCCCCCCCCCTCGCTGAGTGAATGTAGGCCCTACCCCACGGAGAGGGAAAGTTTTTATCTTTTTTTGAGGGCGGAAGAGCTGTGCCTCTCAAAACAGCAAGAGCAACAACAACAACAACAAACAGTGAGGGCAACTCAAACAACAACAACCCCACCGTCAACGTGTCGCCCCGCGCTATCACGGCCGTGATGAATAGACTCCCCGGAACGCGTTTCCGCCAAACTCCCAAATTCCCTCACCTTTCACCCGCCAAAGTCACACATACCGAACAAAAAGGTAAAAAAGGGAACTGTTTACTAGTGGCGTCACTAGTTCCCCGTTTAATCTGGATGAAAGGCCGGCGGGCTAGGGCGCCCTTCCATGCGGTGTTTGCACGCATTCATGCCGACGATCAATACGATCTGCTCCGGGCAAGCCGTGTACACTACACTGTGCATGGTAGGCCGTGTACACTACACTGTACAGTGGGCCAGAAGACCGGCGGAGGCGGTCATAATCCCGGACGGGTTTTGAGCTCCCGAGTCACTGAGTGGGACTCGAACCGAACGTGTAACCCCACCAATGGATTGCTCTCCGAACGAGGAATCTATTGGTGGGGTCACACGTTCGGTTCGAGTCCTGTTTAGCGACTCTGGAGCTCAAAACGCGTCTAGAGTTTCAGCCGCCTGCGCCGGTCTTCTGGCCCACTGTGCACTGTGCATGCTACCATCGATTGGACCGGGCCGTGTTTGCTCGCTGTTCATACACACATTGTTAAATCCCGAAACGCCCTACCGCGGAGACGGCCTCCAGCGGCACTAGCAGGCTGGGGCTGACGACGGGGTTTGCCACCACACCACGAAAAACAAAAACAACATCAGCAGTTTTGGTACACCGTTTTGGGTGCTGTTTTTTCTCGTGTTTGCTTATTTCGGGACAGGGGTTCACGCTGTTTTTGTTTTCGGTGCTTTCGGAGCGCTTAGCCTTTGTAACCCGGACTCGCGTTTCAAATGCGCTGAATTTAATTTTTTCTCCACGCACTTTGGCCTTGGCCTGCGGTTGTCGCAGATGGTGGTATAGTTATTGTTTTTTTTTATTCTCACAAAATCGGGACGGCGTCCGAGTTTTAGCTTCTCCGTTCTGTGCCCTCGCCGCATGCTGGCGTTCGGAGGAGCAGAGCACAGTGGGCCAGACGACCGGTGGAGGCGGCTAAAGCTCTACGCACGTTGTGAGCACTAGAGGTGCTAAACAGGATCGAACCGAACATGTGAACATTCCAATGAATACCTCGTTCATTGGTGGGGTCACACGTTCGGTTCGAGTCCCATTTAGTGACTCTGGAGCTCAAAACGAGTGTGGAATTTCGGCCGCTTCCGACGGTCTTCTGGCCCACTGTGCAGAGGTGCACGCAAAACCAACGAGGGCCGGGAACGTGCGAAGCCGAGCAGAGCGCGGGCGAGGCGACGGAATTCGAATTGGTGGCAAAACCCTCTTCACGAGTTGACAAATTGCCGACCCTCGGCCCCGCGTGGCGCCAGCAAAAAGCGGCCAACGACCAACATCATACCGCATCGCGAAAAAAAATTCAGCCCGCGCAGGGAATCGAACCGGGTTACTCGCTCTCCCTGCGCCGAACATACGGTCAGTCTCGGCCATCATAATCCCCTGTAGCGTCCCGCAGGCAGTGGCGCGTTGCCGCATGGAGCCATGCATGGCCTGACGAATGGCGCCGATCGGCCTGATTGATAGTGGACGAGGCCTCTGCAGAGAGGGGGGGGAGGCATGAGGGGAAAGGGGGGGGGGCGCTTGAGGTGGCCCCCTGCGGCGCTCTACAGGCTATCCGTAACAATGCCGAGGGCCCAGCGCCCCGAGAGAGGGAGAGGGAGAGAGAGAGAGAGAGAGAGAGAGAGAGAGAGAGAGAGAGAGAGAGAGAGAAAGAGAGAGAGAAGGGAGGGCGTGGTAGTCGCGCGGTTGCATTAGACTTGCAAATGGCGTCAAGATGTGTGTCTGTTCTTCATAATCCATGTAGAAGCGCCCCCCTCGAGACTGCAGCCACGCCTCGCCACTCCTCTCGAGTGGGAAACGCGCGTGCAGGCGCGCGCGCACACACACACACACACACACACACACACAAACACACCCTGTACCTGGGTACGACGAGTTTCGCATCCGGCGGCGCGGAGGAGTGCAAAATGCAAAAGAACCGTAGTGGTACCGTTAACGTGGAGGCAGCCGTAAAAGTGCGGTACTCTTCGATATTCACACTACTAGACAGCAGACGCATGTTCGTAAAAGTACTTTTAGTATTATTTGTCTTATTCATAGATCGTCATATTTTCTGTACGCTGCATATCCGGAAGCAGGTGCTACAAAATGAGAAAGCCGTTCTGCGTAGATGCCAAAAATTGACAAGCTCAGCCGTAATGTTCATCAGCTGGACAATTTCGGCGCTCCGGCCGCTTGGAATGCCAAATTTTGGCAAGCTAGGGGGAGTGTTTTAGACATGTTTGCCAAATGTCTGGCACTTGCAAACTTGTCACCAGCGTCGTTGCAGTACACA